AAAACTGTGCCCTATAACTATCAAATATTCATACTAATGTATGAATATTTTGTTCATTTTTAAACCTCTTCAAATTTTAAACAATACTCCTGAAGAGGTCACTGCAGTAGGAAACAATTTATCCAATCTTTCTGAAGGCGATGAAAAGAAGACAGTTGAGTGTGAAAACTCTGACGAAATGTCATCAGAAGTCAACTTTTGCTCCGACGAGAACATCAGAAAACTGGACCCAAGAAAAGAGTTCTATCCAAGAGGACAATTTCACAAACCTTGGCCAACCATCCAAGGTATTAAGAGTAATTTCACTTGGCTGCGACATTTGCAATGAAGAGGAAAAACGTCGAGGTAGTAGCAACTTCAGAAGGGAGGTCCAGACTTCCGTCTTCAAAGGTCTTTGCTTCATAAGAGGATATGAACGTTTAAATCAAGTCAATCCTTGTTCCAGACTAAATTCAAAAACAACATATTTTGAATATAATTTTTTTTCTTAATCCACTCGATCCAAACCTTGGATTGTTTTTTGTATGAGCAAGAAAAAATTAAATGTCTCATTACAATCGGCTTTTTGTTATGGAGTACCTACTGATAAAACAACTTCAGTCAGATGTTGCCTTTTGAATGACATATTTCTTTAAGACAGCGTTTTTTTGTTCTTGTGTTTCCTGAATTATAGGCCTCCTATTCATGCAAAAGTGCCGAGGTCCAAGGACTTGAAATGTGGTCAATGTCTGAAAGCCCAATTTTTTTTATTTTTTCTACAAAACTGCTTTAAAATACAATTGACAAAAAAAAAAAAAAACTGCGGCTCCTTGGAAGCAAAACAAAAATACATGAGGGTCTTTTGAATTGTCTGTGCGACGCAAATTAACTAATTGAAAGTTGGTTTGAAGCAGTCTTACATCTCCTGCACAGACTCCGTCATTTAGAAAGAAAAAATGAGCCTGCTCACAATTCACAGCTGGATAAAAAGAGCCCACATATTGAAAAAAATTATTACAGAAAAGCATAAAAGACAAGGTAATGACCTAGACGCTGACAATTAGAAAAATCACGCGGGGGGGGGAGAGCAAGCAGAAAGCATTGTGAGCTCTTAAGGACTCTTTTCTTACTTTGGATTAAAGCAATTAAAATATATATATATATTTCTTTAATTTCCAAGTTCAAGACAGAAATCTCTACCTTTTCATGTATTGATTAAAAAAAAAAGTTAGAACTTTTTACACCAGCAGGAACCAAAACCTCATTCTAAGTTTCCTCCAGAGATTTTATTGATAATTTAAGGACAAATTAATCTACATTAAACAAAAAAATAATAATAAAAATAAATTGAAGATGAGTGAAAAGAGCTAGTTCAATGTACGTCTACTTAGACACAAAACATCAATCTTTTCTCAATGTCCCTCTGCCCCTGTTGCATCCTTGGAAAGCTTTAATTTTCCCTCAAGTGGCTGCCTCCCATCTCCTGGAAAACTCTCCACAAGGTTCCTCCCCTCTGAGAGGATTCATCTCTCCTGAGTTTTAAGTATCTCGTCTCTTGGTTGCCTCAAGGTCGCCATTTGTTCCGCCTCTTGAGGGTCTTGATTCAAACAAATAAGAAAAAGGAAAATTCATCTCAGGCGGAACACGAAGTGTTAGGGTTGCGTGTGTGTTGTGGATGAACGCGGTCATTGTGTGTGTGTGTGTGTGGGTGTGTGTGTGTTTCCAACTGCAGTTGGTAGAGCAGGAGCTCAGCTGCTCCGGTCCTGCACCCAACGGGACAAAGCGAGGGATGAAAGAGAAAGATGAAAGATGAAGACAGAAAAAGTGAAGGACCGTTGTTATTTGTCTGGATGTTTGTGCATATTTTATCTCCGTGGTAGCTTTCAGACACCTCCACCTTTCTGAGGAGATTTAAAATAAATGAATATCTGACCTCCAACACAAGGAAGATCGGACGCATTTAGAGCCGAAGAGTAATGAGAACAAGAGATATTTCATCCCTTTACTGCCAACCGTCCTGTTTTATCAACTGGGGATGGATCACATCTATTATTCACTCCATTTGGCTGCCAACTTTACACCAAAATAAACCTCCAGCCATGCTGCCCCTCCACCCGTTCACAACGCTCACCTTTTATCAACTGCATGCTTCAATAAATACATTTCTTTTGTCCCCGTCTATCCAAACTCCACTCGTAAAAGAGGGGCTGATGCTGACGGGTTTAAATTTAATGAACTCTGGGAGATTAAATTAAATATCTTTTATCTCCTACTTCACCCAGAATTTGATCCTTGGTGAAATATTTTGTCACTTAATCTTCTGTTGGACGCATTTTCAGGAACATCTACACATCACCGCAAGTATTCAGCGCTACTGACTCAGATTCCACCAACATATTAGATGTGTATTGATGATTTTGATTATGTCATTCATCAAAATGTAATGTTTATCAGTTGTTGACTGTATTGTGTTTTTTATGACTTTGCATTTTTTGTGGTTTTATGCTGTAAAGCACTTTGAACTACCTTGTTACTGAAATGTGCTATAGGAATGAACTTTGATTGATTGATTGATTGATTGATTGATTGATTGATTGATTGATTGATTGATTGATTGATTGATTGATTGATTGATTGATTGATTGATTGATTGATTGATTGATTGATTGATAGACTTCTAGCTTATAACCACTTTAAAGACTTAGAATTCTTTTAATTTTCAAACAACTTTTCAATGCTCAAGATCTCTTGGGTTTCATTTGGACCACATTAACTTTTCTCATTCCATTGTATTCTGAAGATGTTTGATCAAATCTGACCCTGAAGTTGAGGCAAGTATAGGCGATGATTCAATGACTTGATGTTCTCTGTTAAGTGTCGCCTCCAGATGGCCTGAAAGTGACACCGCACACACTCATGGAGGGCGCATGCATACATACAAATTGCTAACTCACCCCCGAGGCTCGTTTTAACCGCGTGTCACACGGGGATCAAAAGCAGAGGGAAGTCAGTAAAACCAGAACCATGAAATGCAACCAAAAAAAAAAAAAAGGAGGAAGAGATGTAATTAATAAGAAAGATCACTGTGACAGCTTTACATGCTGAGTTTGTTTGGAACTCCCTCCGACTTCATTGGAACGTTGGATGTTTCCTGTTTATTTCCAAAAAGTGAAGAATTCTCAAAATTCAGGGCTACTTGAGCTAATTCCAGGTGAGTGAGTGCAGCTCGGGGAAGGAGAAGGTACAGACATTATTATTCTATGTCACGGTACATACTGATCTCAATTTGAGTTTATTATGACGAGGTGAATTGGACTTTTAACTACTTCCATTCACCGCTGCTTAGTTCTATATTATTGGTGGCCAAGGCAGGTAGAATTTAGGATGCTTGCAAGCCACAATTAGTTTTAATTAGTTTTAATACTCCAAGGAATCAAACCTCAGCAGGAGTTTCCTGTGTGTTTGGTATAACAAATTGAAGAACTGGGCCTTTCTTCACTGTGTGGGAGAACCGTTTCTCATTCGTAGGAGCGCTCTGACCTTTCTGAGCTGGAAAAGCCATATAAATACTAAATGACAGAGCTAATTGTTTCACCCCAGAGTCCATTCTGTCTCTCCTGTTCCTCTTTCTGCCAACCGGTCCCTTCCATCATTTCTTCTAATTTCTCTCAATTATTGTCTCCTTCTGCTCTCTCTCTCATTGGGGTGTATTTGTGTGCGCGAGCGCACGTGTGTGTGCCTGACCTTCCTGAACTGTATGGCCATTTATGGAGATTAGATAAAGTTGCCTGACTCATTGGCATGCATTAAGCGGAGCACAACACTCATTTAGGCGCGCACACACACAAACAGAGCTGCACAAGAAGACCATCTTAAATCAAGGATATAGGAGCAAATTAGAGGTAAAAGCGCACTTGGTTTTTCTTCTTTTGTGAGACATCATCTGTTTTTCAAAAAGCCATATTCCGCGTCCTTTCCCCTCCCTCTAATGGATTTTTGATTTTTCCCGAGCATGCAACACAATTAGCTCGTCTTTCTTTTTATTAATGACACATTTACTCTTTTCTTTTGCCTCGCGCTTGTTTATGTTTATGTAGTCTAAATTGAGGACAGAGGAGGTCTTAAAGTGCATTTTGCGTGTGTGCGTGCGTGTGTGTGTGTTCGCGACCATGTTTTGCATAGGCCATTTTACTATTTTTGTTTTCTAAGTGTTTATGTAGAAAAATGGAAAAATCATAATGGAAAATAAATAACAGAGAATGACTTTAACCAACACATTTCTGATTTTTAACATCTTTGCCAGGCTGTAGCGAAGTTCTTATTTTCATGCTTTAACCATAAAAGCATTTAAAGTTGCAGTCACGTCAATAAATAAAGGTAATATGGGAATTGTTTGGCTCCTCATGCCATCCTCGATAAAAATGCCTCCAAATAAATTCATTATCTGTCTCATTAACACGATCCTACACAGGGAGTTTCAGACAAACTCAAACTTTAGATTTATTCCTTGGAAATATTTCCAAATCAGTGCAATATTATCATTTGTTTTACAGTTAACAGAGCCATAATGATTAGAACTTCTTGAAAATTACACATACATGAAATATTTTATGTTTTGCCCTTCACTTCTTTTAAGCTGAGGAACATTTAATTATAATTTGGATTATAATTAATTAGCGGGAGTATAAATGTGTTACCCAGGCAGCCCATCCAGGACGTTATCTCACTGATCTTCTTCTTCGTTTGTGTATAACTTAATAAATTCATTGAAAAACTAACAAAAAAAATGTTTTTGTTCACTTTAGTTTAGCTCTTCATGGTCCTTTTGATATTATTATTTGAGGTTTTTGCTGTAATTAGGATTGTCTTATTGCTTTCCTTTCTGGCTTTTGTATTAGTAGTGTTTTTCAGTTCCCCCTTTCCTCCCTGTCGTGTTCCCCAGCAGATTTTTTGGGATTTTTCTTGTTTGATGTGAATGCACCATCAGAATGTTCAGTTCCACTGGTTGTCACAATGACATCAGCAGTGATGACGTAACTGTTTGATGCATCGAATGAATCTCTCTTGAGTGTTGCACACAGACTGTTTTAGTGTAATTAGAATTGCTCCCGTTTCAGACTTATAAGTTGTAAGTTATGAATCTTCGACATGAGCATTGTTAAAATGATTTGAAGGCAGAATCAGCCCAGTACTGGTTCACGTTCTCAGGTAAGAGAGGCTCACCTGGTAAAAAGTTAGTTATTTTTGGTACTGGAATTACACCGAAGATAAATTAGTTTAATCAAATCATGTCATGAATATGTGTGCATGTACTCCTTAAGTCCAGGGGCCTACAATGCATTGCTATGACAGGCCACAACAATTATGGAAATGTTCTTCAGGTGAGAGAAAGCCGACTTTGTAACCGTCTTTATGTGACTCTGAAGGTTCAGATCGGAGTCCATCACTATTCCCAGATTTTAGGCCTGATCTCTATTTTCTATCTGTAATATCTGACTCTATAACTTTCCTCTTTAGGTCATTGGTCAATTGTTGAGTCAAAGATAGTTATGGCACATTAATGCATAGATTTGATCTAGTCAATAATTGAATAGGGTCTTAGTCACCCGGTGGCATTGTAATGTAGATCTGTGTATCATCTGCATAATTATTGTTTGTTGTAATTTAATCTGACCTAATAATAAGGGGCCCCAACGTGGAACTTTGGGCCTGCATGTGATTTTAGTCAGGGCATTAGGGGTAAATACAACCAAGACAAACATGGTTCCGATTGAGAATTTATAGCTTTGCGCTTGCGGGAGCCATGGCTCTTCTGTGACCTCATTGATGAGTCAGTGAAGTTCTCTTGAAGTCACTTTGGTGGACCAGCTACTTCCTCGGAAGGTTTCCCATCGTTCCGTGTTTTTCCATTCGTAGAGTTCTGAGTGTGGTTGGGTGAAATTCTCGGAAGTCTCACAAATCTCCTCTTGTCAAATCTGTATTTACTTTGAAGTAATTAAACACAAACACTTACCTGCACATACACATACTTCCTCCAAGGTGAAATCTTTTCATTAAAAAAGACAAACACGGTGAAAAACACACTGAGTTCAATGCATTCCGCATGTCTATTAATAATAGAATTTAATTAACAACTATTGATAAGCTTTGGTTGTCTTAAGGACATGTTTGTTTGCTATGGATATATGTGGGTGGGTGGTTGTCTGTGTATCTTAAGGACCTGCTCATTATACAATCATTATGCAGTGATCTTCTTGATTCGTGAACCATGAAGAGGAAACACACACACACACACACACGCACGAAGAGTGTGAGCTCCAAACACAACATGTTGACAGATTAGATGAGAGTTTTTAATCATTTTAATTAAGCCTAATTGTTATTTGTTGAATATGTGGCATTTATGAAGTTCACAAGGATATCCAAGCAGATGACGGAATACTAATTAAAGTATCAGAAAGTGTGCTTAAAGCAAGAAACTGATAAGAAGCAAAGGAAAGTCGCATTTAAGGCATCCATGAGAAGACGATGCACAGTGACAAGCTTTATGGGGACATTTAAATAATACACTCCTCTTTTCATTGCTGATGAGCTTTAGACTTTTATTTGAAGTTAATCAAATAGAAATGCTAAATGTGCTTCTTTTATTCCAACTGCCATGTCTTCCAGCTTTCATCAGTATAAGTTTATCTCATGTAGCTGTAGCAGTTACCTGGCTACAGTATTTAGCTGCTCTGTGCTAATACTGGCTAATTTTGCAGTACTGAATAACAAGACATTTGCATCTTCATCACCATCATGCAAAACCAGCTCGAAACTGACAGTGAGGAATTCTGCTGCCCAGTAACTGTAGCTCTTAAAGAGACAGCGTCTCAAAAAGCAAACTGCTCCAGTTCATCCCTGAACTGAAAAGTAGAACATAGTGTATATTCATCTAGTGTGCTTGCATTGCTACTTGCTCTAATTTCAGCAAAAGTCCTTCGTCAAGAAGACATGTTAGTCCATGTTGTATTTATAGATGAATTGACGATTGAATGTGAAGAGTTTTGTGGTGAAACAGCAGGACTGCTTTGGAATTCAGAAGTTGAAATTGCGCAAATGCTATGAAGCATTTTGGTTGGAAAGACTATTTTAGGAACATTACATCTCTGCATGCACACACACACTAGCTCCTGACAAAAGGACTGCCTTCCTTGATGCACTTGAGGGTAAAATAACTGTCTCCACACACACTTGCTTCCTTGCACCTGAGTACACACAAGCAAAAGGCCACAGCACCGTCTGTTCCTGCCACACACACACGCACGCACACACACAATCTCACAGCAAACTGCCCTCTTACCTCATAATTACTGTTGTTTTCTGATTGTGTGCTGCATACATACAGATTTCTGAAAAAGCATACACGCCGTCGGATGGCTGGGTGTGAGCCGATGTGCCGTGGCTCTAGTAGCGACAGGTCACCAACGTACTGAGAGATAAGAGGATGCCAAAATCCTCAAGACCAAAATCTACAAAACCATTGTGTGAGCCGTAACTGTCTTTGGTGTGACGTGTTGGCCAGCTATGATAAACAAGCAAAACCTTCAGCATGAAGAAGATGAAGATGCTCAGGCAGTCACTCAGATTGTCCAGATATAAGACACATATTGCCTGGTGTGTTCATGGGAGATTTTGTAAATGATTTTTTTCTTTCTTCAACCACTTTTTAGAGCATGAAACATTAAATTAAGATTAGCCGGCGTAGCCACGCTATTCCCCAGTCTCTAGAAAGCTAACACAAGTGAGCCTGTCATTAATCAGATTGCAGATTAGCCTCCTGCGACAAGAAAGTATAGCCTCCTCTGGGTGTGCAGTAGTTGTAATTTTGCTGCTGAAACTGCACCGTAAACACCATGAATGAGGACGAGAGACGAAGACTTCAGGAAGCTCAAAGCACCCACCCAAGAAGCATTGCTGCAACAATGAAAAAACACTTTTTGCACTAAGTACAGAATGGTTAGCTACTATAGATTTGCTTGGATTTTTCAACTTCGGCATTGAAGCTTTATTTTGCTTTACATCTGTGTGTAACGTAATGGCTAATTCACTTTCGAGGGTCTGATTAAAAGATTCTGGCTATTATGCTAAATGTAAGAATACAGGTGATATAATATCTATAAATGTTTATGATTTCTACGCCTACTTGTTGTTTTTTCCATTTTTAGGAGGGTCAAAGCATTACTTCGGGGCACCAGACCGTTAATTCTGTGTTATTAATAGAAGATCATGGAGCAAGAAGAACATCAGCGCCACGTTCTCTCATAAATGGAGATAATTATCTTGGCATCATAAAATCACACACACTTGAATCTGTGTCCAATCAAACACAGTTATAGCCATTTTTACTGCTGCTGCTGTTCATGTTGGACAGATGTGCGCGGTAATGGCATAGAGCGGGTGTTAGAAACAAACATTATAGATAATGTCCACGTGCATATCCGAGTTAATCATCAGAAGAAGTCTTCAAGCTCAGTTTCCAGGTTGCCACCTTACCCAGGGAAGCGGGTGTGGAGGTCCGCTCACCCGCTTACACACATTTATCATATTTAACACCTAGTAAGGAGGCCTGGTGACCCGAAAGAAACCGCAGACAGCTTGAAGATGGCGGGAGGACGAGGAGGAGACGGGCTGAAGACACAGCTGTTATTAGCTTTTCCGCCAGACGGCGGATGAGACGGAAGCTGAGACAGTTGGACTGGAGAAGGAACGGCTGGACGGGAAAAGGGGGAAGATGGGAGATCCTTGGAGGGAAAGGAGGAGATTGTGGAGCATTAATAATGAACGGCGGGTCCTTGGAGACCGTGTTCACACATTAATAATGAATCACATTCAGCTGGACGGCCAAACTCACATCTCGGCACAACTTAAGGGGAGAAACAGCAGAAAATTGAATGTAACGCTTTAGGGTGAATTTGGTCAACTTTTTACTTTGTAAAAATATTCATATCACATTAAAACCTTAAACTTCAATGCAATTTATTGCATTTATTCAACAACATAGAAGTAAATGTGAAGTTTAGGACAACCGTGAACTAAAATCCAGTAAAATAAGGACAGGTATATTTACTTGTATGGCATATTTTAGCTGCAAAACAATTCAAAGAGGATTGCATGATGAAAACTTAAAACAGTACAATAAATGACCCGGACTAGAGCCTAAAACTAATGATGTTCCAGCTATTATTAATCAAAAGACATGTTTAAAAAGTGGGGGGCGTGGAGGGAGGTTTGTACAGGAACTCAGTGTTTTGGCAGCTTTGCAGATTTTTTTCCAGATCAGTGAACTGGAAGCTGCTTCTCTATGTTTGGTTCTGGTTCTGAGGATGCAGAGCAGATCAGATCCAGAAGACCTGAGAGGCACATTATCACTTCTTGATGATGTAAGGTAGAGCTGTGCATCATTTCCATAATTATGCTAACTTACCTGTTATGAGTTAGTGGAAGATGTGGATATGAAATGATAAAGGAAACCTTTATTAATGTGAATTTTTTTTTTTATCAGACTGGTTTCACTTTGAATCCACTTCACAAAATCTTGATAAATTATTGAAAACATTTGGGTTGGCATGAAATGTGGAAAAGTTCAAGAGATTGGAAAAACTCTTAAAAAACTATAATACAGTAAAATATGTATTCAAACTAAAAAAAACCAGCAACTCAACAGTAGGTATATGTTGTTCAACTTAAATAATAACGATCATGAATGGCTTCCAGAGTGGGAGTTGAAACGGGCTGCTTTCGTAGATTACCCTGCGGCGGGAGCAGATACGGCGAAATGATTCCTAAAAGAGGTCAGGGGTGGAGTTCGAAACGTTCCCAAAAAGCATGTTTCTGCTCACAGTAATTGAAACAAATGAACATGGAGAGTCTGGTGTGGACTGCCAGCTCCTGGTTTTACCCGGAGAAGGACGCAGAGACACAAGCACACATTAACTTCTCAATTACCTCATTTTCCCTCTTCGTCTCTAACATCTTCCCATCGCTATTTCGCACACACTCACTCCCTCATTCGGCGTGTACACACACTCGCGCGCAAGCAAATGAGCTGCTTGCTTAAAGCAAATGGGCGGCCCTGATGTTGATTTGCTGCCATTTGCCAACAAAGACCTCAGCTTGTTGCCCCTTCATCCCTCTTTATCAGCCTGTTCTTCTTCCCCTCGCTCTAGCTAGAATGGGTGTGCAGCGCCGAGAGATACACACAAATGGACAAAACGTGTGTATTGGACATTGAGAACACACACACACTGTTCTGGGTGTATAATTACAGTGAGTGAAGCAGCACGGAGGAATAATTACATAGCCTGGTTCCTGTTGTTGTTTCCAACAAATAAACCAGTAAACAAACAAGATGGAGGGTGAGAGAGAGGTCAAGGGATCTCGCATCTGTGCGCCTTCCGTTTTGCAAACGTTTGTCCGTCGCATCACCTGCAGCATCGCTGGGAGCACCGCTGGTGCAAGGCTGCCAAAGGTTTGTCATGTGAAAATTTCAGAGTTTTCTGGAATCAACTTTCAACTCCAATTATTAAATATTTCGTGTGTGACAGGTATTTCCAAAGTGGGCAGGTTTCGATCGTGGAGAAACAGAACCAGGAAGGAAGGAATACAAGGACAGAAGAGGATTTATCCACCGATTAATCAATCAGATTGACTGATTGATCAATTGGTTGATTGAATAGACGAAAGAGAATCAAAGAAGCAAGAACACAGGAAAAATACAATGAAAAAGGGAGAAAGGACACGAGACAAGAGGAAGTAAAGGTCAGCTCAAAACACCAAGTCTTGATGCTAGCTTTGCAACAGTGACATTACCTATCAAACGCTGACGTTAGCCATCAAATGCTAATGCTAGCTATCAAACTCCAAGAGTGGAGATATGGAATGTGACCTTCTGTGTGCTAACATGGTTTCCATTGTGACTATTAAAGGATTCTAAGGCATATTCGGTATTTGCTCAGTTAAAATACAGTTGTTGGTCTTTTTTACAGATTCCACCAATTCTTTGGCATTTATCATAGAAAGTTAGACGCATCAACAGACAAGTGAACATTTTATAGTTGTCGTTTCGCTGGAGATTTATTGAGTTTCATTTAACAGCATCCTGGGTTTCCACTTTATTTTGGGGATTTAGACACACTTTTTAATTATGATGCCATTTCCTCCTCTCTGCCAGCAGTTCCACTTCCTTTGCTGTCTCCAAACTTCTTTAATGTGCTCGCAAACAGAGAGTTTCCTAAAGCAGCCGGTGCCCAGGCAGTCACCTGCACTGAAGGGAAATGGAGTGTGAGGTTTTTACTGGCGCTGTGATTACGGGGTACGGCTCAGGAGGAAATGTGTGTTTAGTTTGTTTATGTGCCATCAGACAGCAGGTGGCAGAGTCAGCACAGCACCTCTCGACCCGCACCGGTTCGAGGGGTGTATCAAGGTGCAGGGCAGAGGGGTGGCGCCAGTAAAATTTCCATCCAGACATCTCTAACAAGCAGACGCCGACAGATACGTGTGTATTTAGGTTCGACTCCATCAATCCTGTTTTTTCTGGTAAAAATCGGATTCAACTGCGTGTGTGTGTTTGTGTGTGTGTGTGTGTAGGCTGCGGAGGGTTATCCCACTGTGTGAGATGGAGAAAAAGCAAGGGGGAGGGAGGTTCTCTTCCATGTAGACAAAAAAAAAGGCCGACATGAAAAATGGAGGATAAGTGAGTGCGATGTGAGGAGGCTTTGTTCTAGTGGAGGGCCGGGTTCAGCGGCAGATGAAGAGCTATCTCTTACTGCAAAATCACAGCTCGGCGCAGGTCTCTGCCTTTCATTTGTTTGCTTTTTATCCTTGGTTCGAACTCCCAGTCTGATTATCGGTGGTATTCTATCTCTCTCTCTCCTGCTCTTTATCTTCTTTGGGTTTAATTCAAACTCACCTTCACTGTTTTTCATATTATTTCCTTTTAATTGAAGGAATTTGGGACCACTTTCCTCCCCAGCATTGCAATGAGATTGCTCTTTAGGCGTCTCAAACCAGGCTGAGGTCTTGCCTTTGACTAGGCCATTGCAACACCTTGGTTCTTTTCTCACCTAGCCATTGTGTTCTGGGTTGTCTGCTATGCCTGGACTCATTATCCTTTTCAGAACCCAGATCAGGTTGCGTTATGGTCCTCTCAATGACTCCTTTGCTGGCTTCACTGTCATGCTGCCGTGTTGCAGATCATACAACAAATTTAATATCAGACTATCATAATCTGAGAATATACAAAGAGTTTTTAAATGGCTTCATTCAGTAAGGGACTTCTCACTATGTGAGAAGCAGCCAATCAATTCCTTGGCACTGACTAAAGCAAGCTAAACAAGACTTGGGCACCAAATATAAAAACATAAAATTTTAAAAATGCTGCTTTCTTCTTCACAAATTATTAAACTAATAAATGGTCCAATTAACTGTTGGCTTACTAGTGAACCATGAAATAAAAGAAGTTCAGTCAGTATTAAAGTGATGTTACTGGAGCTGTGTTGAAGTGATGGGTTAAACTGGGACACACAGTGAAACAAACTCCCAATTCTTTTATTCATGAATGCATTAATCTGCTGTGACTTATTTACGGACAAAGCGTTAATAAAGCAGGTGTTTGTCAAACTGTCCAGAGCTTATTCTAATGAACCAAAGGCTACAGCCGTAATGCCTCATGTAAACAGGGCAACATCATTACTCTACAGTTTGATCCCTAAAGCGATGGCTACTTAAAACCTTGCTGAACTCCTGAACGTGATTGTGTACAAAACAGAACGGGTCAATGAGCAGTTATTCAAAAATCAGCTTTCACTGTTTTTGCTTTTTTTTTCTGTCTTTTTGCTCTGTGTTATTTGTGTTTGTTGTTTTTTTTTTTATTCTGCCTCTCGTCGTCCCTCGTGCTTTCGTTGGCTCTGATTTGGGGCACCGATGAAAGTATTTTGAGGAAACATGCTGATTTATTTCTTTTTTTTTTCGGTTTCCACGGGGACCCGGGAAGCCCAACAGCGTCAAAAGAGGCTTCGGCCAGCATCGCACCGCCGCTCTCCTTCTTTCTGTTCATCCCGCTGAATCTCAGCTCATCTTTTAAACACTTTTCTCATTTCTTTACGTCCCACTTTGCCGGCTCGTTTGTTTTTCCTCATTCATCCATTTGAGCGGCTCCATTTCTCCCGCTCCCCCTCTGCTGTCCTCTTCCCTCTCACTCGCTCTTATTCTGCCGTCACCCTTTGTCGTCGTCTGTGTGTGAAGAGCGGCGATAAATAAAGACAAACAGGGCGGATTTTGTTTGTGTGTTCTTTCGAGAGGAGGACGCCGGCTCTCTGATAGCATTGTTAGCCTCTCCACCTCTTCTCACTCCACTGCACAGGCTTTCTTCTCCCCCACCATCCCTCCATCCGCCCTGACCCGGAGCCAGTAAGGCAGCTTCGAGGCCAAGTTTGGGCCAGGACAGGGGCTCCGCCGGGGGGCTGCAGGGAGCATCGTTGCTGGAGGCTGAGGACGGGAACCGAGCCAAGCTCTGGACCCCGGGCCCTGATCTGGCGGGCCAGCCTGCCCACAACAGGGCCTTGATGGCTGGACGCGGCGTAGGGCAGAGCGGGGAAGCGGAGGGCTGGAGGTCTCAGCAGTGGCAATGGCAGCAGCTAGATTAAGACCTTTTCTCCTAGAGTCACCACAACGGACAAAGTCTACATACACACATACACACACCGCCTCTATTCAGCTTCATCCATCAGAGACAGAAACGCGTGAATAAGCTCGCGAACGGGTCGAAGCTTTATAAGACTGATTAAAACAAACAAAAAAAGAACATACTGAAGGAAAGAATAGAAAAAAAGTGGAGATGAATTAGTTTTGTAGTGAAGAAAAGGGAAAAAAAAAAGCATGATCAGGAGGAGGATTTACGACAATCGGCTTTTGCCCGTATGTCGGTTGGGAAAAGTTGGGAAAGAGCCAAGTTTGGACAATAAGTCAACAAAGAAGTTAATGCAAAAGACAGAAAACAGTAAATGTAGCATAATGTAGACTGCCAGCATTAAGTGCTATCCATTTAATATAATGTCGGTTCTCTGTTTCGAGATAGAAGAGGTTGAACAGAATTGCTTTAGCGGACTGTGTCTCATGAACTTGCTTTTTACATTTTAATGTAATAAGTAGCTCGTGAGTTTTCTTGCAGCAAGTCTTCACATCCGAGACAATTGACATCATCCGAAAGGTCAAAGGTCAGACCGACGGAAGTGGAGATTAGAAAGAAAGAAAGCAGGCATATATCACAACTGCTAGCAGATGGTAAAAGTGTGAAAAGTTTTCGTGGAGCTGCAGAAATGCGCTCACCTTTCTCCATATCACGGTTAGCACCAGTTGTCCCAGCTGGAAGTCAAGCTGCAGAGTAACACTTTGTAACATCACAATGACTGTTTAAAGCTGTAAAATATATATTATATTCATGTTCTTGTCGATGCATATCGCAGTGATCAGGTAGAATGCTGCAAACCAAGACCCCGCAAATAAAGAAGTTAAGCTTTTTTTGCATATTCTTGCTAATGAGCACCATTATACATTAATAATAAAATGCTTTTTGTAGTCTTTCACTTAAATTCAGTCACTTTTGACAATCCTGGTCAGAAACTTGTAGTTTACCAGCAAAAGCCCAGCTTTAAACCAAACAATTTTAGGCTGTTAAACCTTATTCAGGTAACTTACAGTAGAGCTGCTGAATTTTTTTATTTATTTATTTTTTTGCCCTTGATAATTTACTGGAGTTTTCTCTATTTTTCAGCACATTGTGAGACTTTTGGGACAAAAGAAGACAAAGGCAAAAAAAAAAAAAAAGGAGTAGATGATGTGTCTGAAAGTTCACCAGTATAAATAAACCCATATTCATTTCTCTTTGTGTCTGCTAATGTCCATGCTTCTGGTCACAGTGGCGCTCAGATACCTGGTAATGCCTGCAATAAGACCTTTTTACCACCTCTTACCTCTTCACCTATACCCCGCTCTACTTTTATAGTCCACGTGTGTGTGCGTGCACGAGTGTGTGTCTGCGTCGGAGCTCTCAGAGAGGACCCTGGGACCCTCCTCAACAGAGAGAGCTTTTAGCTCTTCCTCGCTAATGTCCTGAATAATGGCATCTTGATGGAGACTGAGCGCAGGGAAAAGAGGTAGAGGAGGGGAGGGTAGGGGGGACGGAGACAGAGAGAAAGACAGAATGAGAAACCTACGGCCGGGTGTCTTTACCCGCCGAGCGGGACCACCATTATTCCCTCTCTCAGCCCTTCTGGTTTCATTATTCCCTGTTTGTGTTTTTCAGGATGATCATCCAGACATTTTGGAAGGAGTCCCTCCCTCCCTCCATCCATCCTTTTAGCAGCTGCAACTTTTCATAACAATGTGGCATTATGTTGGAAGAAAAAGCTTTCATGTTTCAGCACCAAAAAGTTTCACCTGGGCGTAATAAAAAAAAAATGTTATAGTAACTCTGGCTCTGAGTGCTAAAAAAAACACAAAACAGGAAGTAACATGTGCATGTCCTTCTTGAGTGTGCGGCTGAAACAGAAACAGGAACTGGAATGAAACAACTCAGGACTTACAAGGTAGACGGCGCTTCCCGTTTTTTTTTTTTTCCTCCCGCGACGTCGACACACGCAGAGCAGCTGCTGGGCTGTTCTTCTTCTTCCCGTGTTCCTGCCACCCCGCTTTTCCGCCTCATCGGCTCTCTCGGCTCAAATCGGCCCGTTAGCAGCAGCAGCTAACGGCTAATGGCGGCGGCTTTTCATGTAAAGTTTAGTGGAAGGAAGAAGTTTGAAAACTAACTGCAGTATTGGGCTAAATGAACTTTCCAACACTTGGAATGCAATTTATATTCTTAAAATTATGTTTTGTGAGTTCTCTTCAAGAAGTGAAATAGATATTTTCTTTAGATGTATTTTCGATTGTCAGTGTTTCTTTTCATTTTAAAACCCTTTTGACCAAATGAGAAGCTCTGCTTCAGTCGTCCTCAAAAAGAAGAGATGATGACGACTGCATTTTGTAAAACAGAAGAAAAAAAGAATATCTATGTCCAGTGAAGGATGTTACCTAAATGATTTTCTGGATTGTTCTGCATCAACACATCAAACAACCTACTTAGCTCATCTGTAATGTCAAGAGGAAGACGGGAGACGCCGAACAGAATCTTCTGCTTCACAGAATCTTCTGCACTTTGCCGTAAGAAAGTGCAACAGAGTTTTTCCTTCCACCAAATTTTCCGCTAATCTGCTTGGAAACGACGCTCTAAACACCCAGCGATGACCTTTCCTGCCTCCTTCTCTGGCTTCCCGGCTATGACATAAAATTTGGGGTTTAAAAAAATAAATATATAAGTTTTAATTCACTGCAAAAACATTAGAATTAACAGCTTGGAAAGAAAAAAAACTGTTTGGACTGAATTATGATAATAATAATAATATACTGAGGTGCTCCTGTGTGAGTGTTTGCCAGCTGAGACTGGAAGGTCAGTGCGTGTGTGTGTGTGTGTGTGTGTGTGTGTGTGTGTGTGTGTGTGTGTGTGTGTGTGTGTGTGTGTGTGTGTGTGTGTGTGTGTGTGTGTGTGTGTGTGTGTGTGTACACAGTTTGGACAGTTTAGAAATTGTTTTCTCTGCGTTTTACAAATTGAAGCGCACACACACTCTCACACACAGCTCTGATTTCTTTCCTTTCTCTGCATAATAATAATTTGGAAAAAAAAAAGACATATTTTTTATTTCATTTTCACAAAACCGACTAAAACAATTCCTCCCTCCTCGGCCTCACATGAAAACCATTTCCGCCCTAAACGAGGAGCATCTCTGACCTCAGCATCCGCGCGTGTTTGAAGCCGCAGCATCCACGCCGCGTCACTTATTAAATATGAGCCATAGCGTTATGACCGCAGAGTATTTAAGGGAAAACAATCGGGGCCTCGACTGGAACATGCCTTCCGTTTTGAGGTTCGTTTCGGGAGCCGCTCCTGCGTCTAACGCTGCACGAATAATAATAATTGTTATTATTGTTAAATAAAAATGTTTTCCATTTTTATTTAAATCTTTAAGAAGTTTGAAGCGGATTGGAATGTGAGCCGCCCTCAATTTTAGTTGAGGGGGAAAAAAACTAATTAATACTTTGAAAACTTTATAGAAATTATTTTGTTTTGTTATATATAAAAAAAATAAAAAGAAATGAAATGAAGCCGCGGAGTTGGGCTCGCGCTGAACGTTTTTTTTTTTTTTTTTTTTTTTTTGCTGGAACGTCGCGCGCCTTTTCACGTGCGAAAGCCGCCCGCGACTGACGCGCGAGCTCTGACAGTGATGGCACGCGGAGGACCGGAGCGCGTTTATTCCAAACGGTTTTTATTATTATTATTATTATTATTATTAGGCTATTTTAGGTCTGGATGGAACTTTGAAAATAACATATTTGATTTTTTTTTCTTTTTTAGTAAAAAAATTAAGAAATTACTGGGGATGATTAATAAAATCTTATTGGTAAATTAACTTTTGTGTTTTTTTCCCCCAAAGTTATTCCCTTATATATATATTTTTTTTTTTAATTTTTTTTCATCTGTCTCCATTCATTTAAACTCTCCGAATTCGTAAAATAAAAAATGGGCTATATATCTAAAAAAAACAAAACAAAAAAAATAAACAAATAAATAAATAGTTCAATAAATTGAAACAATTTAGAAAGCGAAGGTCGATATTTTAAAAATGTAGGATGAAAGTAAAAAAGCTGAGAAAAGCAGATTTTTTTATTTATATCACTGTTATGATTTCTGGTGTCGTAAAATGGCTTTTCATGAAAGCTGACTATATCTATAATTCAACGTCAGTTTAAACAGCTAATAAGTGAATGAAATGAGGACGCCTCAGTTTACCCCTCATCCTCTCTGCGCGCCTTCTTATAAATAAAATCCAGCGTCCTCCCCCCCCCCACCTACCCCCCGCCGGTTCCTCGTCCTTATTGGTCAGACGGAGCCGTTACCTCACTCCGGGGACGGTGACGCAGCGTCTTCGCGTATCCTTCTGTCTTTTTTTTTTTTTTTCTCTCTCTCTTCTCACCCCCTTCCTCCCGTTCCTTCTTGTTCCTTTACGCGGAGAGTCCTCCAGTCCGCTCAGACGGGATAAAGAGACGCGGAGCCGGCGCAGGGGTGCGCTCGATAACTAAACACTTCCCATCCCGGGAGGAGAGCGGCGCGCAGGAACACACGCTCTCTCCGTCTCCGAGCGTCTCCTGCTCTCTCTCTCTCTCTCTCTCTCGCTCTTTCTCTCTCTCTCTCTTTCTCTCTCTCTCATTCTCCCTCTGCGTTTCGCGCACACACGCGCGCACACGCGTCCGTCTCCACTTGGCCGTAGTAAATTACGGCGTTGATCTGAAAGGGCGAGCGTGGATCTGTCTCTTCTCTTCGCTCCTTTTTGCTCGACGGAGGGATCCGGGGAGGCGCGGAGGAGAGAAGTAAGTAGAAAAGCTTCGTCCGCCGCCGCTCAACTTTTACGCTTCGCTCCCGTTTTCAGGTCGTCCACAAACGTGAGCACAAAAAAGAAAAGAAAAAAAAAGACAACCAAAATACAGATCAAAGTTCACAGGCTGGCTCTGATCCGCTGTTTTCTTCTATGCATTTTGTTTGACCTTTTCCATCTGTTTAGTGTTTCAGTTTGGATCACTAACAGAGCTGTATCAAGTTCCCCTCTCAGCTGGCTTCGAGATTAAGACAAAAATGCAAAGAAATGTGTTTGCAGATGAAAATGTGCGTACGGTGTCATTATGGTGTCACTGTTGTTTGGAACGCGAGAAACGTCCCCGGGTCTCCCGTGCGTAAAACTCCGGGTTCGGAGCGCACGCTGACCTGGACTTCAGATTCCAGACTCTCGTTTAATTTTCGGTGAAAAATGTCCGGAGTTCTGAAAAGTAGAGTTGCAGATTCGACTGTCAGATTAGAAATGCAGAACAAAGTGTTGATAAAACCTTCAGATTCAACTTAATTCTGCTCCTGCGTTCCCTCCTTACATGTTCAAATGGTCATTTCTTGCATTCTTCCAGTCTCACTTCTCATTTGCAGAGATGTTTGTCCTGCTATTTCCATTCAGAGCAAAACTCAAGTTTCGGTTTTGACACCAAAAACCTCACTTGCGCGCCCCTCTCACATCTCCTTTTCAGTCAGCCTCACCTTTAAAGCTTCCAACTTTCATCCGTGTGGAGGAAAAAAATGTGTAAAGTGTTTTGAGTTTGAAGGAGACGCCTGCTGTTTTTTTTTTGTTTTGTTTTTTGTTTTTTGTGATCTGCGCTTTCCAATCAAGTGCGAGATGTCACTTTTAGATAAATCTCGGTTCAAACAATGCAATGTGTGTGTGAATGCATTCGTTTTATTCAGCAATAATGTCTTAGAGAAAATCTTTGCAGGAATGCATGCTTTATTTTGTGAGTCATTTTCCTACAATGACTGACCGTGAAATCCTTTGCAAAACAGATGCAAACTGTGACACGGACAGCGCTGCTTGTGTGTGTGTGTGAGTGAGTGTGTGTGAGATGGTAATAACCTGCTTCCACAACAGCTTCAAACTTTTCTCCCTCTTTTCAGAAAAACTAAAAACAGGTTGGAAAGAAACATTTTGTCATTTGACGAAGCTGAACATTGACAGACGAAACCGTGAGGGTTTCAAATATCTGTAAAAAGGTCATTGTGGCTGAATAAGTTAAAAATGTATTTCTTAGACTTCAAGATGTGCTGGTGGTGGAAGTTTCTACCAGACAGGCCAGTGTGTGTAAGAGTCCAACAACATACGGTAGCCCTAACTGCCCAAAAAGGCAATAAAAAAATAAATAGCATGACAAGTTATGAACATACCGAAACACTTGCAGTCTTTTACTTCAAATCTCAACATGAAATTTCAATCTGAAATCTGTTAAATTTATATGGAATGATATTCAACATCTCGGCTCATTTACAATAAGGCTGATTGTCGTAGATGTTACTTTTTGTCTTGCTGTTTGGATCGTCTTCTTTTTTCCTTTCCCCTCTTCATGTTGTCACTTGCAGAAATTCAAAGTAAAATTCACTACAAGTGAATTGTTTTTTTTCCCCTAATTTCAGAGTGGAAAAGGATTAATGGGCTGCGTTGTGAAATTTTGCTGGCTAAACGTCACTTTGACCTGTCTCGTTTGCTTAAAAAAGGTCCAATGTCCATCTATTGGGAGACAAACAGAAAGCTGGATTCACCTCTTTACCTCCAGAGTAAATTCTGTCAAAATAAAAGTTTTACTTAACTGATAAAAACAGACCTGTTGAACCTGAAATGCTGAGATTCTTTCACTTGCATTTGGAAATAAGTTACTTTGCAGAGGAACAGTAAGAAAAAGCTTGTTTTTATTTTCATAACTGGAACAAAACCTTATATTTGGTTTATGTGTATAGAGCCAAGCTGATTGATATTTTAAAGAGTTGGTTCTCTTGGGTTATTTTTAATAAGAGCAACAAGTTCTTTCTTCACTGATAAAAGTGACTCACCTTTGGTCTTCTGAGTTTTTTCTGCCCTTTTGTCTCTTTGATACTAACTACAAATTCCAATTTGTCTTGATTCTGTTTCTCAATGACCAGGCTAATCCTCTCACTGTCTGTTTGACTGTGAGGCCCCGTGGACATGCCTGTTTAGCTGCCCTGCGTGATGCCTGATCATGACAGCACCACCCTCTTAACCAGACAAACCAAGCGCAGACGTGTCGACATCGGGGTGAAAAGGACTGTGGGTAGCGCGATATTTCCCCGTGCCCGGGAGACCCTGCTCGAAGCCATGAACCAGTCGCACGGCCCTGATCAGGACGGAGATCTCTCCCTGGTGAGTCACGGCCACGGGGCCGCCAACGGTGACGGAGAGAAGACAAACGTCCTCAGAAAGCTGCTGAAAAGGGCCAACTCTTATGAAGACGTCATGATGCCTTTTCCTGGGGCTACAATCATCTCCCACTTATTGAAGAACAACATGGGGAAGAACGGAGGGAGTGACTCAGGCTTTCAGGTACAACTTGATCTGCAGAGATAATAATAATAATTTTTAAAAAGTTCTTAACTTTAAAGTCTGAATTAAGCTGCTGTTCTTTATTGCAGGGTAGTGGAGCTCTGTCCAGTGGAGGTTCGGAGATTCAGGCCGAAGACGCCTGCAGTAACTCTTCACGGGACAGTCCATCCGACTGTCTTTCCCCTGGTCCTCCTCTGCCTCCTCCATCGTCCTCTAACTTTGGACGACCGTTGCCGCCCTCGAATCACATTTCTCACACCTCTTCTCAATCTTTATCCTCCTTTGACTTGGACCGACTGTCGGACGAGCATCTCCGTGCCAAGAGAGCCCGCGTGGAAAACATCATCCGCGGAATGAGTCACTCCCCATTGGTCCGTCCCAATGCCGGTGACCACAACCAGGAGGGCAATCGTGAGAACGAAAATGGCAGCAGCAACAGTAACAATCACAGAGGAGAGGACGGCAGTCATAACAGCAGCCGCGGCGGCGATTGTCCTTCCCTCCTCAGCTCTCCTGGTTCGCGAGGCGGTGTGGTCGGCATCGGCGAGGTTTACAGAGAGAATAAGAGGAAACAGCGTCTCCCACAGCAGCAACACAGTTTCACCCAGCTAGTTTGTTCCAGGCAGGAGCAGAGACAGGAAGAGAGAAGGCAGCTCAAACTACAACTTGAAGACATGCAGGTAACTAGATCTTTTAGTATAGATTTCCACAAGTGTTTACCAAATTGTTCTCTAGTAGAATTCTTATTCTTATAGCAGAATTTGAGATAATAAAAAGCTCAACCTATGTGTTCTTTGTTGTTTCTTTGTTCAGAAACAACTGCGTCAACTTCAAGAGAAGTTCTACCAAATCTATGACTCTGAGACAGAGGAAGAGGAAGAGAACATAGTGAATGGAGAGGTCAACCAAGGAGGGGATAGAGAGGAGGATGGCAACCTTTCAGAGGACAGTATCCGCTCTGACGGCCTGGAGGAGAGGCACAGAGACAGAGGCCGGCATAACCATGATGATCTATCCGAGTTGGACCCGGGACTTTTCCTGGACAGAGCCCGAGCCCTCCTCCGAGAACAAGCCTTGATAGATGGAGAAATGGAGGAAGATGCTGACAGCCGGGAAGAGGAGGAAAGAAACGGAGAAAGGGTGATGAAGAGGAGAGGGGTAGCAGGAGGAGGAGGAGGAGGAGGTGGCCGGCAGCTGGCCGAGACACTAAAGCAGGAGCTGAACTGTGCCGTGTCACAGGTCGTTGACACTGTCGTCAAAGGCTTCTCCTCACCCAAGCAGAACACCGGTCACCATCATGGCTGCCACAGCAGTACGCCAGCTGCACCTTCTTCTTCCTCCAACTCATCCTCATCTTGTCCACCTCCTTTCGGGCCACTGCCCTCGCTTACCCCAGAGTCTCGTTTTGGTGGTGGTAATTTGGCACTCAGCTTGAATGGTGAAGGCAGTCCCACCCCTAACTATCATTCCTCCAACCAGAGGCTGCATTGCTTTGGGGATGTAATTGTCCCTAGCCCTCTAGATTCGTTTGGTGGTCTGAGTAGCAGACTTAGTGGTGTGCCAACACCCAACGATCAAACGGAGGCTCTGCCGCTTGTAGTGCGCAAGAGTGGGAGTGCGGTAGAGACCCCCAATGCTTCTCTTCCTCCTCCTCCACCTCCTCATCATCCCTCCCTCCACCCATCTCCGCTCACAGCTTCCCTCGGCTTTAGCCCGCCATCATTTCGCCACCCATTTCCTCTCCCCCTCATGGGTTACCCTTTTGGGAATCCCCTAGGATCACATGGGGCTGGAGGTGGCTACCCCTCAGGACCAAAAGACCACAGTCGGGTATCCCCCGACTCTATGGACATAACCCGGGAAACTGTCAGCCTCAGAACCAAGATGGCATCTCTCAGCGGGGCCCACATGGGCCACCATCACCACAGGCAGAGCTCTCCAAGCCACCATGGACCAGAGGGCCTGTCACTGTCCCTCATCAAGTCAGAGTGTGGAGATCTGCAGGACATGGCTGACATATCTCCCTACTCAGGCAGCACTGTATCCTTACCATGTGTTACCTGAATATTGAAGGTAATGTCTAAAAACTGCTCTTTTAGTCGAGGAATATGGTTTGGATTAATCGAGAAAAATTTTGTTTAACAATCTTTGAAACTAAATATTGTAAATTAGGTATGCTAAAACTTGTGAGTTTCCCATCGTCACCGTTAAGAGAAAATTTGAAACTAAATTTCGGTGAATAAAACAATTCAGTTGAGCTTTTGAAACATGACATAAAAGACACGGCCAATACTAATTTGGAAGATAAGCCACAAAATTGTAGCTATAATCCTAGATATTATTATTTTAGCTCTCTTGTCCACAAGAATCACATTTTTCATAATAGAGCGGCAGCAGGAGGCAAAGTGACAAAAAGTCTTTAATATCAATTAATCTGCATTAATTGGCTGCTGCTCTGAGCCTCTTGTTTCCCTCAGTGAGTGGGGAAGATGAAAAGGGCGCACCGGGTCTTGCAAGAAGGGGAAGATTAAACAGGTCGCACACTGCTCTCCAGAAGCCCTTTTAAGTCTGTGCAGCAGGTTGTGTTGTTTAAAGGTGCAGGGAGAGGCTAGTGAGCTCCCTCTTGAACATGCGCGCACACACACACGCGCACACACACACACACTGTTTGCACTGTCTGAGACACTCGGGTGCTGTTAGGTTCTCTTTCATCACAAAGACTTTGTACATAAACGCTCAAAGCAAATCATATTTCACTTTGTCTGAGTGCATGTGTGTGAGGTAAGACTTTGTTCACAGGCGCTCAAAGCTAATCATATTTCAAAGAGTATGTCAGAGGAGCAGGCAAACGTTTGGCTTTATTGACGGCAGCTTTCTAAATTTGCGCATATCAGTGTTAAGGAGAAGTGTAATATCTAAAAGCTGCACAGTTTCCTCTTTATCGTTTTTAGCTCCATCTCCTCCCTGCTACCATTTCGGAACCCACCCACTCACTTTCATTTGTTGGCCCTTCATTTTTAGTTGCCTGGCAGGCGTGTGTGTTTAGCGCGCGCACGCACGCACGTGGGAACACACGCCTTGCCTTTCATGGCGCGTGCATGTCGACAGGTGTTTGCAGGTAGCTGTTTATCTTTTCGTTCCTAACCTTTCATATGGAGAGGGCTTCTCCCGGCCATCTCACTTTGACTCACACAAGAGAGCAAACAGGCGCATGTGCACAGACGCGCACGTTTGAACAACAAAGTAAAGAGAAAAATAAGACTTTGAACTCGTCAAATGGGTACTCCTTGCAGCTGTGATGGGGATTCGATCACAGTGTCGCCTTCAAAGCTAATTTAGATGTTGCTTTCATTGAAAAACAAGAAAATATTTGACACGGCTCTTGATCCTCTTGAGCCGTTTCATACCAGAATGCCCCCCTATTCATTGTTAAAGAAAAACAAAATCTTTGAAATGGATTATTACTTCAAAGACACTGACTGAGCTTTAAAAAGATTTTTTTTTCTGATAAAATTGCTCATCTTGTTTGTTTTTTTTATCAAAAAACTAATTTTGTTACAACATAAAGAATAGAGCAGATTTTAACTGATGTGTTTATAATAATTAGGAAAGTAATTAGGAGCTCTGATTTTTAAATGAGCAAAATTTGCAATTACTTCATGCTTCTGTCTGTAGCTTCAAGTGGACGTAGCTCGATGTTGATAATAATAGATATTAAATATATGTGGAGTGTTTTTCCAATTTGAGAAAAGCTAGCGAAACAAATGGAAAACCTGAAATGATATCATCATTCCTGTATGCCCTATGAAAGCCGTTCCACGCTAGTGCTAATTTTTGTCCCCACGTTTTTTGTTTTTTTTACATATTCCCAAATTCAAGACCGCTAAATAAAACCAAATGCTAAACAACTAATGGTTGACCGAACATGTCAAATGAAAAGTAAGCTAGAACTCTTTTGATTCAACCACTAGCTGGTATGCTAGTCGCTAGCTAAAAATTCACTAGCTAGTGTGGAAATTTAAGGACGTTTTTCTTTGGAATCATTAACGTGGAGCTTATCGCAAACGTTTCGGAAGATGTAAAATTATGCGATTTTCCTCTTCTTGTCTTGTTAGACAAATTTGTAAAATAAATAAATGAATAAATGTAAGCAGACAAATTCATACCCACACAAATCACGCCATTCTTTTTCTTGGTCATTAATTGTAATTATTTTCTCAAACTGAGCAATGTTGTGCAAAAAATATGTATTTTTTTATATTTTAACTAAGTGTTGTTGAAACCAGCATTAATCAAGGTACAGACTGTTGCATCAACAACAGACAAACAATCTATTTATGAAACCAGTACAGTGAACACTGTTCGACAGAAGAATGCCGTTTCCGAGTCGAACTGAAATGAAACTGCATGAAACCTTTGCTGTAGTTTTTGAGGTTAATCTTGTTTATCTCAAAAAACAAGATTTTTTAGATGAACAAAAATTCATGACATACAAGCGGTGAATGTGCCCATTAAATTTATATACTTTAAATAATCTTTTTGTACCTGAGAAAGTCACACGTGAAACATCCAAAACTGCAACATTTAAAATTGCGTAAATTATCAGCCGTACGATTAATTACGTTAAGTTGCGGATTCTTGGTTGCATTTTGCAATGGTCATCGTTCACCTGAAAGGCTGTTTCTTGCAGTGAACACTCTCAGGTCTGTGTATCTTTAATCCTTTGTATTGAGCTGAGCAGATGTCCTCCATTCATTTATGAATTTATCCCTCCACCCTCCCTCTTTGCCTCTCAGTCCAGCTCTTCCATTGACACACATAGACACACACACACCTGGTAACAAGGTCAAGTTACCGCTGGTATGGTGAGCTCTGCACAACACTCACAGGCTCTTTGACAGATATGCATTAGGCTAAACACAAACCAATAGGAAGACAAAAGCAAATTGGGAGGAAGAGGAATGGATGGAAAAAGAACATGTGTGTTGTTTATTCACCAACTCCCTTTAGCTACTATTACACCCAAAAAAAAACAACAATGCCACATATACTCTTTATTCATTATATCGTCTCACGCTTGTTTACTCTGAGGCTCATTTTGTTTGTTTGTGTCCCAAGAGAAAAAGAACACAGACATCAAAATTCTGGACAATATGTACCGAATGAGCACATGGTGACAGGTTGGTATGAATGTTAACAATGAGATTGGTGGTGTGGTGGGTTGGGGGGGGGGTGTTTGTGCCGTGCCCCATCCCTGATGAATCCAATGCTAAATGAATGATGGATCACATTGAGACTCACTTCTGGTCTAACATGGCTGCTGCATCACGGCACTTTCCAGATGTCGCGTATTTATGGTTTGGATCATTGGCTGGGATTTTTTTGGGTTTTTTTTTTTCGGGGATGCCAAATCTCTTAAAGATAAAAAGTACCAAATGATTATGTTTTCATATTTCACTCTGTCATCAGATTTCTCCTTTTCCTGTTTTTTACCCCCACTAAATAGTTGATGCCATTCTTTCCTTTTTTTCCAGCTGTACATGTCCGTTGAGGTTTTCTGCGTGTGTGTGTGTGTGTGTGTGTGTGTGTGTTTCTGTGTGCTAATTGACCTTGTAGGGGGCTCCATTGATTGCCTCATCTTCTCTGATAGATTATAGGCCTTTTAATGTGGTGGGGAAATGGCAGCATGGTGGGGCACAGCTGTTGTCTCCACACACACACGCGCGTTACCACACACACACACTAACACTGAACACACAAGCGCTCGCCGCCCCTGAATCCAAGGCCCTCACAATTATTATTTTTGCCGCCGAGTCTGTGGGACGGAGGGATTTGTGGGGTTTGATCAGAAGCCAGCAGGTGCTTGTGTTTACTTTGGGTGTAAACTACTATATTCATCGCAAGACCAGGCCCACTTTGCTTAAATGTTCCATTTAGCCCTAAGTAAAATAAAAACATATATATCTCTAGTAGGTGGAAGTGTGTATTTTGGTGTCTGCATTTGCAAATTTATTCAAAATTTGAAAACCAGTGATGCAAGTGTTCTTTTAGGAAACACACGTTCATCCAAAACAGACAAATCTCTTTACTTTGGCTACTTTTACTGCTTTGGGTGTTTTCTAAAACTGTTGCAGTTTTAGAAAACTGTCTGCCTAGTGACAATTTGTAGCAACCACCATGTTTCTATGTCATTGTTCTTCTTGATCATTAAGTAAACACACCGTTGGCTAAAATGTCTTTTCTTGCACATGCCAGATAGATTCTGCAGTAACAATTCCAAATAAATGTTCAATTTTTCTTTTTCAAGTGGTATAAAAAATGTCACCTGCAAGCTAGATGTTTCCTGTATGGGGATTGACGATGTGCAGTGGTCAGGGTCAGGGTTAGGGTTTTTAGTTTTGCAGTAACAGCACCGAGCTGCGTAATTTTGAATGCTTTTTCTTTCTTTCTTTCTTGCTTTGCTTTTGTGTGTCCCTCACCGTCTCGCTCCATCGCTGCTAATAGCATGTAACGTACGTCAAAAGCTTGTTGAACGATCATCCAGCTGGAACGCTGCTCTAAAATTTGCCTCAATGAATTTTAAAAATTGAGGTTCTTGAATTGTTGCAGCTTCAAGTCCATTTCTATCATTTCCACATAGACTACTGTTTTTCTAGCTAGCTATCAAATGCTCATACAAGTTAGTCTTACTAAAAAAAAATAATAAAATGTTTTTAAAGAACTTTCTGTAAATTTTCTACTTTATTGTAATAATTTTGACATAAAATACATAGAAAATAATGGAAAATCGGAAATTACAGGCATTTGTCATGTGGCTTTGGACGTTTATCAAATTCTGTATTGAGCTTTTTTTCTGTTATTTTAAAAAGAAAAGCTGCTTCATCAATAATTATGCAATACATTGAACTTTAGTAAATAGCAATGTCATAATGGGCTATTCCAAAAAAGAACTTTTATTTTCACCTCCATTTATTTCTTGATGGAAGGTGAAATTTTTCGTTTTCCCTTTTTGACTGCAGAAGAAACAAGCAGTTGCCTCCCTGTGTTTTTATTTTAAAAGATTCTGTAACGTCAGCACGTTTTGGCGCCTTAACTTGTCCTGATTCAGATTCAGGAGGGCTTGTCTCCAAACCATCTGAAGAAAGCCAAGCTGATGTTCTTCTACACTCGCTACCCTTCCTCCAACATGCTCAAAATGTTCTTCTCTGACGTCAAGGTAAGACCCGTTTCTTTATTTTTATCCTTCTTCCCTTTTGAAAAAGTCACTCTCGTTCTTTGGTGGCATTTTTTTTATGTCTTGTTTGTCCTTTCATAGTGTCTTCGTTTAGAGTGGCCTTAAATGACATTTAATTAAAAACGCTTCCGTAGAAATATTCATACCTTTCAGATGTTTCTCATTTTGTCTTTGCAATCATCACATCTCAGTGCATTTCCAGCTGAAAATGTCATCTTTGTTTGCACATCTAGTTGAGGAGAGTGTCTTTAAAAATGTCTAGCAAAGAAATTCTAAATTATATGTGAATATTAGGGAATAAATAGTTAATTTGTTCAAAATTCTTTACATATTAACTACATATATTTTCACGTGTTACAAAAGTAAATGCAATTAATTGTATCTTTAGTTCCAGGGGGAACCTTTATGTTTGCTTATTTCTGGTACAACAGTAAATCTGATGCACAAGTGGCATCCGCTCACAACAAAGGGCGTTTTTTGAAGTGAGAATGTTACAATCAATTAATTAGAGATCCTTCAAGAATTTGCTAAATGAGTTTTATGAAGTTCAACCACTAATAACTCTACTTTGATCTAAAAGATTATATTAAAGCTGTAGTTGTACTTTCAAGGAAGTGTTAGCTCTGTTTTTAGCTTCATCCAATTGTCTTTAAACTTTAACATGGGGCGACGATTCTCCTGTGACAAAGTATGCCCACGCCATTATACTGCCACCACCGTGTTTCACCAAACCTTTCAATTATACAGACACTAAATGAAACAGAAGGGATGAATTTCATGAGTTTAGCTCATGAAATTCAAATAAAATACATTTGAAGTTTGTGGTTGTAAAATTGAGAAATGTGCAACAGTCGTAGTTCAGTTTGCAGGACACGGCATGTTGTTTATTATAATTATTCCTAACTTTTTTGATAAAGTTCCATCGTGTTCAGATGAGCTGGATCTGAGTGCATGTCTGCGTGTGTGGGCGTGTGTGTGGGCGTGTGTGTGTGTGTGTGTGTGTGTGTGTGTGTGTGTGTGTGTGTGTGTGTGTGTGTGTGTGTGTGTGTGTGTGTACGAAAACTTAGAGCGCAGATGGGCGTTCCAATCTGGCATGTTTTTGTCACATAATTAGAGTTTCTGGCCTTAATCGGGCTTGGGTTAGTCAGCAGGGTGGGGGCGAGGGGGATAACGCCCACTTTCCCTCTCACACACTCCCACACACTCCCACACGTACTGTAGAATAGCTTCCCCTGACACACACACTGTGACCTGAACCTTTTTGCCGTTTTCACTCCAAACACACGCAGCTGCATCAGCGCGTTCGCTCTCGTCGGCACAATTAAAGCCGAACCTGGAGAAGCTGTGGCTGAGCAGGAAACACACTCCAGAGATTAGGCTGAGAAAAATGTAAAGGACCCCCACGAAGTTTGTCACGGGGAGGGTGAAAAAAAAAAAAAACGACCAAAGTGTGTGCAAATGATTGCATGTTTGGAGAAAATGACAGAGGGATTGTGGAGGAGGATGAGGGGGGGAGTGAGGGATTGGGGGATGAAAGGGATGACAACAGAACTGGAGCTATAAAACAAAAGCGCTGATTGTTTGGTGTTTACAGGCTGCTACGGGTTTTGCAAAGGAGCATACGGCTCCTCGACAGATTCAGGACGCTCTATTCAAATGAGCAACCACTCTCTCTCTCTCTCTCTCTCTCTCTCTCTCTCTGTCTCTCTCTCTCTCACACACACGCTCACACACACACCAGCTGCTCTTTTGGTTCATGTCTATGGTGACCACTTCCTCGTGGGAGTTCCACATCCTCATCGGCTGCCATGGGATACCAGGTTGCCAAGCAAACTCAAGGTTGCTAAGCTGACCTACCGCGGGAGAGCGAGGACCTGCCGGGTCATCAACCAGGAGTCAGTCCATTAAGTGATTAAAAAGCTGCTGAAAGGGGGAAATTACCGAATTGCAAGTAAAGTGAAAAACATCAACCCAAAATCCAGGTAGCATAGCAGGTCTGGTAAGAGTTCGATTAAAATAATTAACATTTATACAGTTATAAAACTTGTGAAAATAGGTTTTCGTCACACTTGAAATTAAAGTCATTTTTGATGATTAAACTACAAGAAATAAATGAAAAATGCACTAAAACACTAAAAAAGAAGTCAAAACCTTTTTGCAGAGATATGAATCCATAATATTAGATATGATTCTCATAAATTCACCTGAATTTTGTCAGGACATGTCACGTTTTTAGTCCATTTTTAGTTTTTGTTTTCAAACTCAGGTGAATTTACAACAAAATGGCTTCGAAACGCAGCAGGCGGAAACATAACGGGGATGTATTATTTTATTTTTAAACAAATATAATCAAAACATAGAAAACAACTAATGACACTCATACCAACACTTATATCATTCTTTAATCAGATTATATTCTTAAATTCCAAATTAAGTTGAGTTTTGTTTTTGAGCAATGATGTCATTAGAACTATGGAGTTTATGTATTGTAGATTGAAATAATATTAAAAATTGTAACTTTATCTCCAGATTGAGATTCAATTTCTTAATTGATATGTAAGGAACAATTTACATTTGTTTTAAAAACCAAAAAACATGCTTAAAAATGTTCCTAAATTTGAAAAAAGGAAAACAAAAAATAAAAAAGTAGGTACTGCTATAGAAAATAATCAGTAAAAAGGCAGGTTGTGGACATCTGCTTCATTTGTATCACAGTAAAGAAACGGACCACCAAGAAACTGTCTCTGTAGCAACTGGCTTCATCGAATATATAGCGCCACCTGCAGGCAAAAGTCGAAACAGTTTGTGTCCAGTATGTGTGGGGTCTGTAGAGCTGTTAGCTGACCATTTCCTGACCTCTGACCCATGCCGGTCGTGGGTGGAGGGACCGTCGGTGCTGATGTTTGTTGCAGTCTGGACCTGGTCCGGTTCTGTAGATGCGATGATGATTAAGAACACACACTTTGTCGTTGTTCAGGAAATAAAGTCTCTTTGCAGTTTGTGTCTCATGCAAATCAGTGTTTATACTGAACTTCAGTTTTAATTGAGTCATAATCCCAGTTAATCCATTTTATTTATGAGACACTTTACAACTATTACTCTGCTTAATGAAAAAAAAGAGAAGAAAACACGTAAATGGTGGATAATCCTATTTGTGACAAGTGAAGCTTTTCTTTTTGAAGACAGTAGATAACCGTCTGTGTCCCGTTTAATTGTCCCACCGCATTCATTACCAGAACTCTGAAATCCGGGTCAGTGTCTCTTTCCCGTTCCCTTTCTCACCCTCACTCCGATTCCGACCGGCGCCCCCTCCCTCCTTCCCAGGGAACAATAAGTAGCATGTGTTAGAACGGTTCCCTGTAAGGGAATTAGGCCCTGAATGGCTCCACTAATTGGACTTGAATGGACTTCGTCTATGGGAAACTGGTTCTTAAAGATGAGCCTCTTATGTACAATGACCTCCTCGCTGAGTGTGGGAAGTGGGTTGATCTGACGGCTGTTTCGAGCGCAGATGAGCGAGCGTACACACACACACACACACACACACACACACACACACGCACATACAAAAAGAATCCCAGACCTCTTGCCTTCTGACCAGTCACAGTGTTGGTGCGAGACGCCGGGCTTTGCTGGTGTCTCGCCTTGAGAGAGTCAGTGAGAGTAATTAAGACCTCGTTAAGACTGGAGGAGGATTAATTAGACGCTTTCTGGCTCAGGGAGCTCCTTCGAAGTCACACGCAGCTGAGTGTTTACACTCACACTAAGTTACAGGCATGCGGCGAGCGTGAAGCTGTGACGCATTTATCACTCCTGCCTCAAGAGGCTGAAGTGACATCTCAACATATTCGCCTCAGTGGGAATCAATTAGAGTCCATGCCGCCGTTTAGCCGTCCTGTCAATTAGTTGCATAATAAGTTACACAGCCAATTTGACAGTGCCAGGAGGAGAACGTGACGCGGCTTGTCCATACAGATTCAACTGTACCCAATGCTCTACATAATGCTTCCCCTGTAATAGTTTTCTTTAAAAAAGGCGTACCTTTATCATTTGTGTGGTTGTCAAATTTTGCGTTTTGGTCACAATGGCTATGAGTGTCTTTGGAGGACTCAAGCAAACACACACTTGTGGAGTGTGTCCGCAACCCTAATACATTTCCTTCACCTCCATGTCTTCAAACTGTCTGATCAGGCCAAATGTTCAATGCCCCTCTAACCCCTTTGCCATGTGGGGTTTCACCAAAGACTAATGTTTTCAGTTGGAAAAAGTTTGGGAGTCAGTCTTGCCTCAAGACTATCCTGAGAAATGAGTAATAGCTGAACGAGTTATATACAAGTGACTGAGGTTAATTTTTGTCTGTTGGGTGTCTGGCCTCTGTCTCCAGCTCAAATAATTCCTTTGAGTTGAGTCATTCATTCATTCAGGATCCTTGTTGGCACCTGCTTTGAGACCCTCAGGGTCCAAATTCGAGTGCATAAAATCTAGAATCATTTTTGGGAATCCCCAGAAAGACTTAGAACCTGTTGCTGGGGTGACAGATGTCTGGCTTTACCTGTTACCCACACGGCCAACTCTCACAGAAGGGAAACGGTGGATGGCACAGCCTCAAGCAGTGGTCCATGTAGGACTGGGTTTTCTGAGATTTTTGTTGACTGAGCAAATTCTCTGTCTGCTAAAAAACAAACAAACAAAAATAACTTGCTGACCTACGGTGTTTTTAGTTGAAGTGGGCATATTCTTAAAGGATGCGAGTGTCTGCCCTTCAGTTGTGGCCCCGGGGCAATGACAACACCCACTGTCAACAGAAGAAAACGGGGAGTCAGGCCTCCCTGACACCATCTCTGACACACTCCCTTTACTGCCACTTCATCGTAAACATAAAATGGCATTCCTCAAACTCAGCAATTTGCCTTCTCACCACTTCCATTATCTTTCTTTCTTTTGTTGGTTTTTTTGTTGTTTTGTGCTGTTTGGGGGCTGGGGGTGTTAGTGGGAGAGCAGTTTGGTCAGTTCATGGCGCATGTTTGAGCAGAAACTCTACATGACATTTGACTTCTGAGTGGCTTCCAGTTTTGTGTCTCAGGACAACAAACTTTTCCAGCTTTTATTTATAGAGAAAGTAATTAGAGTTACAACAATATATGATTCCAATCTCAGAATTAAGAAACCAGATTGTGCAAAAAACTTATGTCATCCACAATGATCTACAAAAATCTGACTATATTGTTTTTTCCACTCGCAAAATAAATGTACTCTAATTAAACTCTTTTTTTCTTCTTTTTTTTTGTAATTCCAGTGTGAGAAGATGCTGTAGAAGTAAAATAGATGTATTTCCAGGGTTTTTAAATCCATCTGTACCAAGTTAGTTGTTTCTAAACAACTTGTAGGTCAGAAAAACTACCCAACCTCACACTTTCCCCTCCTGTTGCCCACCACCCGCGCCCCCGCCTGCAGTTATGCTCCATTATGTCACCCCCATGTGACCACCCGCAACAAAATATCTCTTTCCCTCATCTCATGCCCTCTGTGCATTCCTTTTTTCCTACCATTCATCCCTCTGTCTGTTATTCGTCCCAGGCCCCCCGCGGACCCCCCCCCCCATCCCTCATCCCTGTGAGACAATGTCTTGTAACAATACAGAGCTTAATCTCCGTGTCAAAGCAGTTTTTCCCCTCCAGCGAACACACACACACACAAACACACACATGTACTTTCACTGTTTGTTGTTCTGCACATTTTGCTTCCACTTAAGGAGAGCTAGCACGCTAAAATGTTGTCAAACTCCTGCCCAGTAATTAACAGTGGATGTGAAGTAATTTAAATGACGTAAGCATATATAAAACAGAACCAAATCTTGAAAAAATTTTCTTGTAAAAAGAACATTCCTGTTTTTAACTGACAGTCCGTAGCATTAAAGTCTTCGGTCATTCCAGGAGAGTCTGTGTTCCTCCATGTCTCTTCTTTCTGGACTCTGCTGATCAGCAGTTTGTTGTTTTCTCTCTCTCTCTTCACGGCAGCTTTTTTTCTAGGACAATTAAAACCGTCTAAGCAACATCATGAAGCCAAAACGAAGCTCCAACTTCTCTTATTAGAATAAGAACGTCGTAGAAACTTCATCGAACCAGATAACAGACAATGGAGAGTTTGCACAAAAAAAAAAACTAGCTCCATTTTAAACTCTGCAGGCCTCATTTAGTACGTTAGACGTTAAACTTGATGTTTCATGCTTACTGTTAGGCATGGTGGTGGAGGAGTGATGCTTCAGGTTGGCTCAGAGCCGTTGCTGTGGTGTTCGGCTCTCATTACATCTTTCCCATATTTAGACTCAAAAAAATAAATGAGTAAAATATTCAGTTACAGGTATGAGTTGTTGTTGTTTTTCATGCCGCGAAGCAAGAAAATGATTTGCATAGAAAATCGACGTTGCCAGACAAAAAGCAAATTCCCAAGTTCATGCATAGCCATAATCAGTGCAAGCAGTCATTCAGCGGCTGGTTTGCTGTCATGCAAACGAGGACGAAAGCAAACGTCGAGTTATGACATGATACATGATACAGCAGAATACATCGGATAGTTTTATTTAAATTTGGTCCATAGGCATAAGCCATTACTGGTGAGTGAGGTCCTCGACCGCGGTTACAGAGAATATTTTTAATTCTGACGAGTTATTTTGGGAAATTGACGTATTTGATTTGAACTGTACACATGTATTTTTTTTTTTTATCTCCCAGTTCAATCGTTGCATCACCTCCCAGCTGATCAAGTGGTTCAGCAACTTCAGAGAGTTCTACTACATCCAGATGGAGAAGTTTGCCCGTCAGGCCATCAATGAGGGCGTAACCGCAGCCGAAGACCTGACGGTGAGCCGGGACGCAGAACTCTTCAGGGCCCTCAACATGCACTACAACAAGGCCAACGACTTTGAGGTAAGACCGGATGTCATGCGCTTTGGTTTGGTCAGGAGAACTGATGGTCAACCCAAGAAAACAGCCCATCAGTCTATGGGTAGTTCTAGTTAGCAGGAGTTTAATAAATTACACCTCAACCACATGTCTCAGCCATTAGCCAGTCACACACACATTGATGATTTGTCAGATGCATCGGCACCACCAGGCCAGGACGGAACCAGGGGGCTTTTAGGGAAGGTCCACGGGCTTTGAAAAAGACCTGGTGTTGTATTTTAGATCTGAAATCCTCACCTTTACCCCTTTCACATAAGGGCGACAGATTTCTACTTCAACTCAAATGGGTTTTCGAGCGCAACTATGATCGCAAACTACCGTTGGAATACATCTGGAAGAGCCTCCGCTCATCCTGACCCCTCCAATTAGTGGAGAAGCTAACCAGTTTAAATGGACTCAACTAAGGAATCTGAAATATGCAATGAAGTTTGTGGTACAATTGACCCATCCTGGAGAAGTATGGTCCAGTAAACCATAAAAGACCTGTAATTAAATGTGTTTTCCAGTTTCTCAAGTAGCTTCTTCAAATGTATTAAAACGCGTTTTGCTGAAAACTGCCCTCCACCAAGTCAACCGTTCCCTTCACGATTCTGCTGAGGTGTGGATGTTGTAATAATGTGTGTGTTAGCGTGTGTGTGTGCGTGTTCGATGAGGCAAAAGAGGACGCCGCTCTAGGCGTCCTTGTCAAAGCGATTTGCAGAAGTCACATCCCCCCCCCGCCCCTCACTTCTTCCCAGCCAATATTGGTGTAAGGGGACCTGAGGGCCCTTAAACTACGCAACGTAACATCAGCAGCATTTAGATGTCCATTAGCGCACACCTTCCCGCTGACACATACACTTGTCTTTTTTGCTCAGCGACATGGGTGTTGAAGCTTAAATGCAACAAAGAGGACGATATGCAGACAAATTAGACACACACACACTCACACATCGGAGCGTCCTACATATGTGAAGATAAATAGGAAACGCTTTGCATGCTAAGAGTCAGGTAGCATTTCACAGGTGTGTATAGAAAGGCATGACCAGGAAAAAGACACACACATGCAAATTGCTTTTGTGTTTGTTTTGACTGGTCAGCACGAAGGTTATTTTTAGGGTTCAAAGGGAATAAGTTCAAGCAGAGGTCATAAAGTCCTGCATGGAGATTTTTTGAAGAAGCTTCTAAAGCTCGTCTGTGTGTGGAATCAGGTTTGACTCGTAATGAATGCTAACTAAAGACTGACTGAAAGGTAGAAAAATCAATACAGATACTTGCAGCTGACAGCCTAATTTGCAGAGCTACAACATGTAATTGTAATCAGAGGATGCTGATAAGGACATCAGGAAAAGGTTGCGAGCGTCCCCCAAACTGAAGGTACATTTACTTTGCCTTCCTCGACTTTGTCGCCTTCACCTCCCGTCTTCCTCCCATCCGTTCACCTTTAGGGAACATTACTGGCTAGGGACTGTCTTTTCCTCTCCTTCCCTCTCTCCATTTCTCTCTCTCTCTCTGTCAAACTCAGAGGCATGAAACTGGAACCACAGCCGATTCAGCAAGTCTCCTGATGTACACACACACACACACACACATAAGTCTTCTCCTTTTGCCAAATTTAGCATCGTCTAACTTCCACCTTGGTTTGTCCCCCATCATGACTCCCTCTCCCCCTTCTTTTCTCCATCTTCCAGCTGAATGTGCCCTCTAAGCACAATTACCTCCTTTGGTTAAGTTTTGTTTGGTTTTTTTCCTTCTCTCATCAAGAATCTTAAATTGACTTTTCTTCAAGAGTTTTCTTCTGGTCACATTTTTGAGTCACCGCTGATGTTCATTCTAATAGCTAATAAAGTCAAATATAAACTGTAAAACATGATTTCTTCTGCTTTTTTAGATGTACAGTCAGATTTTTCTTGATTTGTCTAATTGCAAATTGCAAATTGTTTTGTGAACCGGGACTCCAAGTCTCTGACAACTTGTCTATTCACAGATTTTTCTTTTTTCTTGGAGCATTGGCAAGAATGCTTATTTTCTGCATCTTATGACCATAACTGGTCTGAATGTCGACTGTCGGTGAAAAGCTTTCTTGAAAAAGATCTAGATCTGTGTTCAAAATGGCCCAGTCAAAGTCTGACTGAGAATGGAAGGTAAAGACCTGAAAGATGATGTCCACACTTTGGAACATTTCGGTCTTAAATGTCCATGTTAGTCAGGTGAAACTCTTCCTTTTGGAATTGACAGTCGCGAGAACCGACTTGAACACGGAGCCTTTCTGGTTCCAGAGAAAGAAGACTTCAGCGGACACACTTGGACAGCATTTTGAATTCTTAATTCAGAGAGAGTCTGTGTGCTTCAAAGTTGGCGTAAACAGGCCTGAGTAATTATAGCAGCTTCATTAATTACCACCTCTTCAGCCACATTCTTTCTACTCTTCTTTTTTTTATTTACCTCTGTCTTTCCATCTCTCTTTCCTTGCTTGCTCCTCCTCTCCACTATTCTCTGCTAATTGCTGCTCTTCCCACTGAATTAATGAGGAAAAGTGGGAATTGTCTCATCTTGCCAGGACAATCAGGGAAAGGCGTTGGTATCTCGTTGTGCCAAGAGGAAAAGAAATGTTTCCTCTTTTGATTCTCCGTTTGGTTCTTCCTAGCAGATTGCCGAGCGGCGCACCTTCGACTCGTCGGGGTTAGGAATGCCAGATTCCCATATGCCGTAAACACGGAGCGCGACGATCCAGGCCACGGTATTCCGCTATGTGTGCCGGGTCAGCGGGGACAATGAGACATTTTTATGAAGCCTTCTAGAGGACGTTCTCATCTTTCCAGTTCAAGGATCCTCGCCGGCTCTGTCAGCACCAAATGACGGCACAGCTGCGCCTCACACACACAAACACACACCCACACACACGCATACGCATCCGTCGGACACACAACGCCGGTTGTGTTCATCTGAAAGCGCAGATATCCTCTCCCTCGAAGGCCGGGTGTGGTTGCAACCAAAATCTGCCCTTTGACTTTGCGTCGCACACACACACACACACACACACACACACACACACACACACACACACACACACACACACACACACACACACATATGTGCACACCTGGAGGCCAGAGTGGTCACACACTCACATTTCAGAGCTATCTGCTTTCATAAGCTTTGCTCTTCGTGAAAGGCTGAACTTCTCATGTCTTTCTCCACCGATTTAGAGTCTTTGTCATCCCTTTGCGCTTCTTATTCATGCCGTCACTCATCTTCTTCCCACTTCCTGTTCATGGAAGCTCCCCGGAACAGAAAGCAGGCTAAACTCCACCCAGAGGAATCGCGTCTGAAAGTGGGAGCTTTTGTCAAACAAACGGATACACTCAGCGATGAAACAGTGGGACCACACTGTTTAGTCTGCTCCATGCATTTGCTCTTAAGTTTGTCCTTTTTTCCCCCTCTGCGTCTGCTGTCCTTTCAGTCATAACCTACCCAGAAGGCATGGCTGTAAAAGTGTGTGCACACTTGACGCAACGGATAAGCCCTTTAAAAGAAGGTGAACCTCAAAGTCTATAAAGATTTGTCCTCCTTTGTTTCAATCTGCACTTCTGAGCCCAGCGCTCCTCCTGATTACTGCTTTCATTAATCAGGTTGTGAACATTGTGTGAGAGGAAGCCGCTTCAGTTTTCGAAATCAAAGCAACGCGCCAGAAAACAACTGCAGGTCACGGTTGCAGTTTAAACAGGAAAACCAGCAACAAGTCGCCAAAGAAGAAACGGAGGGAAAAAAAAGATATAAACCATGTTGGCCATGTCTTCTTCCTGCAGAATATTTAAGATTGAAAAGTCGAACCTCTGAAAGGATTTGATCAAATCTCCAAGTATGTAATTTTAGCTGAAAATGCTGCCAGATTAAGCTGATTATTTGTTGTTACATTAACAACAAACTATTTTGGTAAGAAGTAGTGGTCATTTGGTTAACAGTTGTTTTTTGATGTGGTTGGGCAATTAAAGAATTGTTGGTCTTCTTGATGCCTGTAAGTTAAAGTCAGAGGAGGTTTAAACATTTAGTTACTAAAACAGCCTTGATGTTGGGAAGTAAACACTTTGAAGTGTGTGAAGGAATGTCCATGTTTTCCAAGAGACACCAGCTTATAATTCCCATTAATACCCCCTTGACTTCGCCGTCAGTCAATAAAGTGAAGAATGCTAAATGAGTGAGAGTCCTTCGCTGCGTTTGTGCTCCACACAGAGCGGCATGCTGCAGAGAATGCCACCTGCCAGTTTCTGTCACTATAATTATAGCTATCTGCTCGCAGCGTGTGTGTGCGTGCGTGTGTGTTAGTATTCCAGCTGAGAAGACGAAGGCATCATCTTTGTCACCGAGCCTGATTGGAGTCACGCGGGGAGGTTAGGGGGGTGCGAAGGCGTGCGCTGGTGTTGTGCTCGCAGTGATTCCCTTTTCCCTGCCCCAGCTGTCTCCTTAGCTTCAACAATAGGGCTGCTAACAAAGAGCCGGCCTTCAGCCTCCATCATGTGATGCTAGCGGTCTGCAGCATCTCGGTCAGATGACCCGACCCATTGTCCTCCTTCGGGTGACACACAGGAACGCTCACAGAAGGAAGCAAAGAGGGCAAACCCTAAGGAAGCGCGGCACGCGTCAATGGAGTCCCGCAGAGAGACACGGAGGCGCACCAGGTCGCCGAGGGGACAGACAGAGACACAATCTGAGGACGCAGACCCTTCCTTCTGTCACATGCAGTCGGAACAAAGACGGCGTAGAAGGCCAGCCCTGGTGACAGTGAGATCAGTGAGCGACTGACAACACGTCAGCTGAGAAAGGAAACGTATTGCTCGTGTCCTGGAGGAGCTGCTCCTTCTCTTCCTACAGATAAAATATTTTCAGATCCACTTAAACAGCTGATCGCTGTCACTCAGGTTTTGTCTGTGGGACGGCTGCTGTCTGTGTGAAATAACAAGTACATCATGTGGAGCTGATGATGCTCGCGACTGTTCACTTAACAAACATTCAGAACGGGATGTGTTGAAGGTTTCAGACTTTAAATATGAAAGAACAGGAAGGAAGGAAGACGGGAGAAGAAAAAAAGGGATGCAAGAAGGAAGAAAAAGTCTATTAAGGAAAGAACCAGTCAGTGAAGGAAAGAAAGAAAGGAAGAAAGAAGAAGGGAAGGATTTAAGGAGGAAAGAAAGACGGTAAAAGGGAATGAAGGGAACCACATCTCCAAAAGTAAATGTCGGTTTGGATTTATTTGGTGTAACACCAGAACTTCCAGCTCGGGAACGCGCTTCCTGGTTCCCTCCGTCTGTTTTTGTGTATTTTCCTGCCAGGGTGAGTGTGACTAACGCCAGGTCTGATAGCGGCGAGCGCAGAAGAGAGATAGGGAGAGGAAAAAGGAAACAGATGCCTGAGTGTTGGCGCAGAATTGACACGTTCACTTTAGTCCCAAACACACACACACACACACACACACACACACACACACACACACACACACACACGTCCAGCATTTGACAGTCCACAAAGGGGCAGCACATGAAAGAGTTCCAGTATTGTCTCCATGATGGAGAAATACTCAGCTGACCAACAGCGGAGCAGACCTCAAGGCCACACAGCCAATGAATGAAGAACAGGTTGACAGTGCATCACCGAAAATTAAAAAGAGCAATAAACATATGAAAAGATGCGAGAAACTGACAAGAAATCAGGAAACCATAGCTCAGCTTCCTGTTTAACGTCATGAAGAAGGAGCGACGGGATGAACAGAATCGATGAACAACAAAATTCAGCAAACATGCAAATGGCAGAGATCATTTTTTCTTAAAGCCGAATATCGTGTTGGTGTTGCACTTTAACATTTCTGTGTTGGTGTAGCGCTTTCATGTTAGAGTAACGTTTATGATTAGGTTTAAACAATTAAACAGGTTAGTTTTAAACAATTAACCCTAACCTGGTTAGTTAGCAGCCCACTAAGGTTAGGGTTAGGAGTCCAAATACCAAACCTCACTAAGAAAATTCAGTTGGATGTTTGTGTAAATGAAAAAAAAGTGACAGGAACGTCTTTGCCGAACTTTTTTTTTTCATGCCTCAATTCTTGATTCTTTTGTTCACATCTTCTGAAATGAAGATGTTTGTCTTGAGCAGAAAACGCACCGAGTCTCTGATTGTTGGTTTTCCTCTGTGACCAAAACGACCAGAACTCTTTAAACGTGAGCTTTGGTAATGAAGCGACCTACTTATGAAGGACCCTTCTTTATCCTAAAATATTTTTAGTCCAACCGTGGCCCTTTGTGCTCGTGACCTGCTTTGTCTGAAATAAATAAATAAATAAATAAATAAATCGCTCCTAAGTCAGTGAAGCAGACGTCACTGTTGCCAAGTGCAGCTTTGTTCAGTTTCTGTCCCCCCCGCCGTTTGCTTTGTGACTCTTCAGGTGGCGCTTTTTCACCCCACTGCCATTGTTACCATTCAGATGAACAACAGTGATTTCTGAAATTGCTTTAATAAAAAATTAAATAAAATAAAGTAAAAAAAAACTGATTGGATGATTACATTTTTCAACACAAGAATCAAAAAGCACAAAACAGACGTCTCAGTGGGTAGCGATTTAAAGGCTCCTGTCCTCCTTGTCTGTGTGCCTGTGTGTGTGTGTGTGTCCGTGTGTGTGTTTGTGTGAAGACAGAGTAATTGAGCCTCCCCTCATCCAATATTTACCCAGCAAACCAGAGCAATCATGCGAATTATGTTTACTGGAAACAAAGTGTCTTTCTTCCTCTTTATCTTCCTTTTTCTTCCCTACTTTCCCAATTCCTTCCTTCTTCTGTCGCTCTCCTGGCAACTAGACATTATATCAAGATCCTGGCCAGGAGTTAATCACACACACACACACACACACACACACACACACACACATAGAGGGAAAACAGGCCCATCTGTATTGATGATGGCCTAATTTAGATCTTTTTATTGGACTGATTTACGACGGTTGGACAAATCTGGGCATCTGGAATCCAAATGAGAGTGTGTGTGTGTTTTGCGTGTGTGTGTGTGTGTGTGTGTGTGTGTGCTGACACCCAACCTGGACACTCAATATCCTGCTTGCTTAACCTCATCCTTCCAGCTTGTGTTTCCCTACGTCTCTGTGCGAGTCAGCGTTGTCCTTTTGGTCTTCTTGCTTCAGCACTTTGAAACGTGTCGTCCTGTTGGGTTGGGAAAACAACACAAGAATCAAAAACGACCATCGGCTTTGCTGATGGACACCGAGGTCCATCAGCAAAGCCGATGGACCTCACGGTCCGTCGTTCGTCTTCTGGACTTCCACTTGGGTCGAAATAAAATGAGGGAGGAAGTGAACAAAAGACGTGGTTTGCCCGGTTGTAGGATGTGATGCTGAATACCGTGTTGGTGTGTCAGGAGACAAAGGTTCTCAAAGGCATCTTCAAGATCAAGCTCAGGTTTCAACTTTTATTTGTCCCAGTGGGCAGTTTCACAGCAACTGTTAACAGCATCTCCACTTTGGAGCCTTTTATAGATTACAGGAATAATTTTGTGACACCAGCAGAGGCTTGATGGTCTAAATTTGCTTTCAGTTTTACCATTTTCTGGACATTTCTTGCTTGGATGTTTTCAGCTCCAAATGATGGTTTTTGATTGGCTACCAAGTAAAGAGCTGTGTATGCTTATGGGACCCAAAAGATTGTTTCCTTGGTTGGTTGACTACTTCGTGGACCTGGACTCTCATATCAAAGGCCCTTGGTGTGACTGACTACAGCCAAACCAAAAGGCTTTGGTTGCTTTGGTTAGACCAAATTCATCCAAACTGTTTAATAACTAGGATGAATTTGAATTTCTTTTTTTTTTTTTGCCTCAACATAACATTTATTGAAAATTGAATTGAGTTCTAATTTTAAAAAAAATAAAGCTTTAAATATTAAGTTTCAAAATCAGTCATTTCTTTTAATATTAATTTGTCTTGGAGAGACAATGAGAAGTTAAAAGCCTCAAGACTTTTGTGCACATTATTAGTGCACATGAAATCAATTCAGATGTTCACTTTGAGAACCCAGACTTACCTCCAATCTGACGTTTGGGGATGTAAATCAGACCATCATCAGCAAAGAGGCTTATTGGGATGAGCACTTTAAGCCAGCGATTTGTAAAAGTATGTGTTTGGGGTTTTTTTTACACCATCAACATTGTCATTTGGATACAGTGTTATAACTCCAGGTCTTAATCAGGGACTTTAAATTCCTGTCTTGAGTATTTTCAAATATATTTCAAAAATGATTTTGAATATCATTGGTGCGCTGATTGCAGTTTTCTGGCTTGCTGTAGATTGTTGAAATTTCTGACTTTGATATCATTTTTTGGTGTCAAAAGTCACTAAATATTGTGACAAAGTTGCTGAATTGACAACAGTGGGGTAACTATTGTTCAGACGTGACCTGGTGGGCGGGTCTGCCAATCAGAGCAGAAGAAGACTGATTGTTAGACAAGATCAGTAGCAAACATTCAACCAAAATCAAGGAGCTGATTTATCACTGATGTATCTTCTCAATTCTTCTTGGAGTACTTTATAAAAGTTTAGCGCAATTTTCCAAAACCTCCAGCTTGCCAGTAGAGCAGCTGAAAGCTGAGTGTTTTCAGTAACAACCTTATCAAGATTATGAGGTTTTCACTGCAAACACTTCCAGAGAACTCAAATCTACAAAAAAAAAAGCTTCAAGGAGACGCCGTTTGCACACCTCAAACCAACACTGTAGATATCATCTGAAAGTTGTGTCCAGAGCATGTGTGTTGTGTGTTTGTGCGCGAGTGTCTGCAGTGAGACAATGACAGAGAGCCTCATTGAAATAACAGTGGTCTCGGGGGGGAGGCAGCTAAAAAGAGAGGAAGGGTAGGTTGGGGTAGAGGGAGTATATGAGAGTCCAGGGAATCATTTAACTGTTGTGTGTGCGCGCGGAGTGATTCATCCGTTCTGGTGGCGACTAACCTTGGCATGTCCTGCCACGCGTGACGGGGTTACACTCCACTGTCCTCTACATGTGTGTGTAGGAGTTTGTCGGGTGTATAGGTCATTGTATTTAGTCTGGTAGAGTCAGCAGTGTGTGTGGGTGTGTGTGTGTGCATTAGTATGCAAAAAAATAAAATAAAGAAGGAAATCATGGTCAGGTTGTTTTGGATGATCTCGCCCTTGGGAGTGAACGACGTATGCGTGCTATTGTCCTCCTGTCAAACACACTGTTAAAACACACAAACACAACCCGGACAGATGTTCACCTGCCTGTTGGACGCTAGCTGTGGCTCATGGAGGTGGTTTCTTCTGCCTGTGTGTGCAGAAGAAACTGAGAGGAGTGTGTCTCAGGGAAGTTCTGGAAAAAATTTGGAATGGTAGTAGATTTTCTTCAGTCTATCAATCACTCGTCTCATTCGAGGGCTTCTGATATTACCTTCATACACCGTGCGCTCCATCTATTCACAAAATACCAAGAAGTGAAAGAAGACATTCTCACCACAACATTTCCTTTTAAGCTCAAGTGTTTTTGTTATTCCTGCGTATCCAAAGATTTGGACAGGTCCTCCCTGCTGGTTGTGATTGTTTTATAATAACACAAAGTCTGTCAAGAAAAGCTTTCCTTTTTTTGTTTTGGAATCAAGCAAACTTGACGTCGGACAATGTCACTTTAATGACATTGTAGCTGAGCAGAAAGCAGCTCAATGAGACGCAGTTGGTCCTTCGGTCACCCATGAAAATCTCTTTTCTTCATTGCAGTCAACATTTCACAGACAAGTGATGTTACTTACAAGAAAATACATTTTCCATGTAATTACACATTGTCTTTAGCTTTGACGGAGACCTTTTGGAAGCGGTTAGTGTTCGAGACAAACGTTCAGCCTGTGCATTCACACTCCCCTACGCTTTCCGCCAGGTTCCCGATCGGTTCCTGGAGGTTGCCCAGGTGACGCTCCGCGAGTTCTTCAACGCCATCGTAGCCGGGAAGGACGCCGACCCGTCGTGGAAGAAGGCCATCTACAAAGTGATCTGCAAACTGGACAGTGACGTCCCCGAGGTCTTCAAATCCCCCAACTGCCTCCAGGAACTCCTCCATGACTGACTAGGACGAGCGAGGAAACCAGGCAAGAGGAACAAACCCGCCAGGACCGTCAGGTCTGAACTGAACGTAGAGCGCGCTTCTGTTCACCGGAGGATCTGAAGACAACACTGCCCTCTATAAGATTTTATATGAAGAGTTGCTCCTCTTGAATAGCAGGAAAGGGCTCACGCTCAGTTTTAGATATTCATGTCTGGACTTTTGGAGTTTAAAAGCAAAAATGTGAGCAACTGATGATCCTCCTTGCACTTAAAGAAAAGGTTTTGTTTGAACTTTCTCCTCATCCTTAAAGATTAAAAAAATGATGAAAAGGATGCTGGACAGGAGCAAACTAATAACAAAGATGATAATATATATATATATATATAAAAACAAAAAAAAATCTTCTTATTGTGGATGGCTTTGAGTTACATGGATGATTTTGAAAAGAAAAAAGGTGTAGTTTGTGTATTTTCTCCTCCTTTGTATATGTCCCCATCCATCATGCACACGTAGGAAAGCACAGTAGCATCCTGACCACAGAGCGCTGCTCATCTTAGAGCATCAGACACGTAAACACGTAAATCTCTATAATAATATCCATGCCCAAAAACTTTGTGTCAGTCTGTCACGTAAAAAAAAAAAAAATCTCATTACAATAAAAGTTTTTCTGACTGAACGTGATCAAACCTGACGTTCCAGGGGTGTGAATACTTTCTCAAGCCACTGCATTCCAGTATCTAAAAACGCTCTGTTTGTAGAGATTACTAAAATTCTTGATTTCTTGAACTTCAGTTGTGGGTTTGATTACTTTGCTAAATGTGGATGACCTTTATAAATGAGACAAGAGGAAGCCAGCGGACTATTTTTGTCTAATATGATCAAAAACACATCGTGCCAATAAGCATGAATAAGAAATGTTTGCATATCGATACTACATGTATTTTTCACATCCATGACTGAACCGTTGACTTTTTAATTCTAATCAATTCAACTTATTTTACAAATTCCCTTAGAATTTGAAATATTTATGCCACACAGTGGCAGACATTTTTAATAGAATTCAACATTGTGGCAGATTTTTAATGTTGCAGATATTTGTGTCTCGGATTTGAAGAGTTCCCAGAACATCTTCACAATTCACACGTTCCAAGAAATGTGTGAACATTCGTCAGTAAAACCAAGTTTTTACCGACGCAAACCTATTCAAATAAAGCACAGGAAAAAAATTCAAATCTTTATAATATGTATTTTTTTTTTTTTTTTTTTGCTTTTGCAGTGATATCCAGTGTCTGATTGAAAAGCCCTCAATTAATCAATTTGACTTAATAAAGTAATAATTTCCAAGGTATCAATGGCCCATACTGTCTTCTTGTTGCTAACAATGCTAAAAATAGATATAAAAACCCCAAAAATATGTATAACATATTTATTATTTATATTAAAGATATAAATAATACACATCAGACATATATGCCTTTCTTTTAATTGTAACCCTTTAAATGTTTTGGATATTGAATGGTTTACGCATCCATTTCATACACACACACACACACACACACACACACACAAATACTGTTTACTTTCTTTATAGTTGAGCTGGTGCAAAATAATAATAAAAAGAAAAAAACTCACAAAACTGTTTTTGTGTTTTTAATTAAAACGTTACAACATTTTGCTGCTCAGGCAGCCGATCTTGAAGATTTTGGTCCTTGTGATGAAACGTTCCTGTTTAGCATTTTAGCCTTTTCGTTAACTTGGAGAACATTCAGCGCACTTAGCCTTTCCCTAAATTCATTTATTTCAAATCCTTTAATCAGTTTCAGTATGTAGCATACATATGTAGGTCTGCTTCCAATAGAACCGACCAAAAGACAATGCAACTTACCATAATCAAATTCTGTAACAAATAAATGAATGAAAACATTTATTTCCGCTTAAATTTCACCACATTTGTGTATGAGGCCCAGAAACAACTAGACAAAACTTCTCAGTTGTTTCAGTGGAGTTGATGCAATAAAATATTGATATTCATCTATTTAAAGGCGCCATTTTGAATAAAATTAATAATTTCACATGTGATGTTTTTTATTGGTAATGTTGATTTTTGTGATTTTTTTTTTTACCATATGATATCATCAGGTGTGTACAAGCACCAGATAAGAAGATATAATTTATCTGTCAGAGTTGGTCCTTCAACAAGTTTTCTATTGCTTTGATAGATTTCAAGTCAATGTGATAGTACACGCCCCCTTGTGCTGAGAACAGGAAGCACAGATAACACGGTTTGATCAAATGATTTCCTGCATGTTGGAAATATGCTCTGATTGATTGGTTGACAAAGTTGACAATATTTCTAACTTGTATAGATTTATTAATATTTCTGATCACTGATTTTGTCTATAACAAATAATTATCCGTCTTAACGTTCTTCTGATAGTGATGATCATTACTGATGCTTGCTGCAGTGGTTTTAGCCATTGTTTCTCCATCCCACTGTGATGTGAAATAAATTATTCTTTGAAAAAAACAAACAAACAAAAAATAAACATCAGACTGCGTTGTTTAGAGTTCAACATGTGGACCCTTCATAAAGCGCCTCACCATCCGCTCAAGCCGTATCCAGGCAACGCAGCAACCACTCCCCCTCCGCCGGTGCCCTCTCTGGATTCTGCGTGCGGACATGTGATCCCTTGTTGTTGCTGCTGATGAATTGAAAAGAAGAGCGCCGTGTGATTATTGTCAGCACAAAAGGCTGAAAAGCTGCTGACGCCTAGATTAGGCGGCACAAAGAGTGCAGTAGGGGCTAACACTCAGACACACACGGATGAGGCCTGGCTGCCCTCACTGCCCTCATCTCCTGCTCTCCTTCCTCCTTCTCGCTCCTCTTCAGGTCTGAATGCACTGTCTTCTTTTTTCCCCAATAAAATGAAAGCAGCTAAAATCTGAAGAGCTCATTGCTTCACAGAGCAACACAGGTAAAAGCATCGTTAAAGGCTTAACGGAGGAGCCATGTTGCAATGAAGACGTCTGGAGTTTAAAGACGAGCAGGAGTTTTTAAAGACGTTACAAAGTCTTCTAAGTCACGTTTGATACGTGTAGCATATTTATAACAACAGCTACTTTATTGAGCTAAAATGTATGGATGGATGGATGGATGGATGGACGGACGGACGGACGGATCGATCAATCGGTCAACGGATCAACCCAGATATCTGATCTTAGGAATAAAAAAAACACACAATACAAATGAGCGACTCAGCTCCTCTCAGTAAAACCAGACTATAAGGATGTGCTGTACTTTACGTATCACTGGCAATGTTTTTGATTAGAACAAGAGAGACTGAACAGAAGGTGGGGGTTGCGCTGTATGATCACACACACACACACATGCGCGCACACACACCGTCTGGCTGCGAAAACACATCTGAGCAGTGCAACAATAAAACAGCTGTGTTTGTGTTGGCATGATGATTGTTTCAATCTCAATCAGCATGTCATAAACACAAACACACAAAGACGCAGCATGGCTAATAACTGCCTTTATTATAGAATATCTCCCTCAGTCTAACAAATGATAGACTGCTATAGTAATTAATATAATTATAGTTTCCCTTTTTTTTCTTTTGCCTTAATGTCTTTGGAGGTTTCTTTGAACTGCACTGTACAAACCGTCCTCTGATGACCTGGGGCCTCATGCTTTACGGAAAACGTGTGTGGCGCCATATTTTACGCGCAAGTCGACATGAATAAACATTTTCCTTGCGTAAATAGACGCAAACTTTTTCTGTGGACAGAAAATTCATATCGGCGTCAAAAACTCACCTGAATACACTGAAGTGTGACTGTTTAGACCAAGAAGCATCAAACCCGACGTTTGTCACGAGGCTCCAGAGCTGGACTCTTCTTACACATTAGAGATGAAATCTGGATCTGTGACAGGAATAAAACAAAGCTAGCTAGAAAACAGTCTGATCAAATCAGAGGAATTGCCTACAAAACCCAGAATCTGCAGTGACCCCACCGCAACCGCAAAATAATCCTCCATTCTACTTTCATCATATGTTTGTCTCTATCATCCTCATCAAAAGCTTAGATTATTTTTCTGAAACAATGTCTTTAGTCTCTCTTGTTTTGGGAACTTTGTCTCTTCATCGCATATGGACTGCTGAGACACAGACAGGGGGCGGCGGAGTGCGGCATGCAGGGTAAGAGGATTGGATTGTGCTTTTCATCAGAAGACAGCCAGCATTGCTTTGTTCACCATAAATAGATCTGATAGATGATGATAGGAACAACTTTTGAAAAGGTTGGAAATAAAACGGTGGTACGCTAATATCTCATGGATAATATGGGAGAAATTCAGCAGGATAAAGAACATTTAAACAGTATCGTTAAGAGAGAGGTAATTTTCTTAAGGTCTTCAATTTTAGGAAATGCTTGCCCAAACCATTTTGCAATAGAAAAGATGAGCACAAATAAACTAAATATAAAAAGTTTTTTTTCGAGTAACAAGAATGAATGAGAGGGTAGTCTTCCTCTGCCTACAGGTGGGGTTACGAGTCTTAACTGTTGTTGAACAACAGTTCAGATTACCCACCCCTTTGGTGGGTAATCTGAGTCTTGGAAAAGGCAATTGTGGTCCACCATGCGGGCTCTCCAGAGGGGGAAGCAGTGTAGCACCAACACTTGCTGCACCATCTTGTTGCAAACCTTGAAGGATCTGAGCTTCCTCCAGGCTGCTCTGTCCTTTCTTCACTGTTGTGTCTCGGTCCATTCTGATGTCCAGATGAACACCCAGGTGTTTATGTTCTTCAACCACCTCCACTTCTTCTCCCATGATGAAAATTGGGTTTGATTCGATCCTGTTCCTCCTGAAATCAACCATCATCTCCTTTGTTCTCTGGCTTCCTGGCAATAAATGACAGTACTGCTGTACCAAAATACAATGTTTTCAGGCGAGAATGTAAGTGTGTAAGTCTCAAAAATCTGCTCAAAATCTGCAATGTTGCTCTGATGTTCTCAGACGTGTCTACTCCCGCTGTGTGCCCTTTTTTTTAACTTTGAGCCCCTGCCCCTCCAAAGGCCTTTGCACGGCCCTGACACAGCACAACTAAAGATTTGATCTCCTCATGACATGTCTTCAGAGGACTGTCATGATTCTGGTTTTCAGCATCGTGTCCATTTTGACCAAGGACACAATGAGCAATACAGACAGAGCAGGGGGGCGACCCACTGGTTACAGGATAAACTCTTACCACCTTTGCCCCCGAGAATATTTCCTACCTCCAAGGTCACACAGCTCCCAACCTTGACATGTTATCAAGGTTGGGCCATTTGGGTCATTAGCAGAAAATGGTCTAGTCTCCAAAATCAAAACAGATTTCAGCATTTACTGCAGTCGTCCTTCATCAGGAGCCTCTTCTGTTCTTTTTTGATTTCGATCAATCATATTATGTGGCCAGAATGCAAAATGAAAATGTTGGTGCCTTCGAATGACTCAAAATGGAATCACTTACATTCATGTTTTGAAATTTAAAGCTCTATTTGTAGATGAGGAAATAAAGCAAACTGCTATTCAGTCATTTAAATGTTGTTCCTCAAAATAAAACAGAAGGAGAAACAGAGACAGGTTGATAGAGCCTGTCGTTGGTTACTAAAATGTTAAGTAACATGAGTGTTTTATAAATTTGTCGGCTGATGGAACCCCTGGCATTCCTGAAAGCTCCTCATTGACGGACTTGATGCCTTTATTGGATGCACGACGCATGGCTCTCTCCACAGTTGGTACGTCCAGAAAAAAGCTGCGAGTGAGTCCATCTATAATCATGTATTAACGTTCATGCATGGCCTCGCGCGTGCGGTCCGCGTGAGGCTGTATCGATCACCTCACCCGATGTGTCCTCTTGCTCTCTGCTTGGTAGAATTTCACCATCGCAGGGTGTCCAGAAGCTGCTGTCAGGACGTCGAAGCCGATGGGGAAAACATCATTCGATTAGCAAAAAGTTGAAAAGCTCTGACTTCAGCTGTCAAACTTTCATCCGGTGAAAACCTAAGATCAACATTTCGTCTTGGACGGCGTCCCTTTGAGACTGTATGACGTCTGCACAAGATTTCTCTCAATTTGTTTGTTCAATTATTACTTTACTTTTGTGTTTTCTTTCACAATCTCGCTTTATAAGCAACAAACCTAACAATGATTGTCCTCTGACAATCTTTAAAATAAATTGTACCGGTAGGTTTTAAATGTATCTAGTTCTCGTTAAATGGCTGTTAAATTGATGTGACATATTTACACATGTCAGAATCTCAAATAATCCTTGATCTTCTTCAGATGGTCCCAGAAGAGTTGAGAAGGAGGCGTCATCTGCCCAGCAATCCAACTAAACAACCAGATGGGCTTAAAGAGGAGCAACAAAAGCAAAGGTACTGGATTAGCAGTGGTTGCCAACAGCTGATGATGCCATGTAGGACACGTTACTGTGGAATATCGTCTCTGCCGTGACAGTGACGAAACGGAGGTCTCTCCACATTTGTTACAAGACTTGACTGCTGTCACCGTCTGTCACCGTCCACAGGGACTCTTTGGAAACACTTGGACGATATGAGTTAAGACAACAT